CCTTTTATATCCAGAATAGTTTGATAATGAAGATGTTGACAAACTTGATAAATGCTTTGACAGTTAAATTGAGGATTTCACAGTTTGTATAATGTATATATTTCAGTAGATATAAATGGGAAGAGAAACTTGTTTAATTGGTTCATCTCTCCAGTCAGGGTCACTTTGGAGAATATCTTTGTAGTACCATTGTATATGGTGACTAATTCCCTGAACAACATACGGGAGGTCTGTTGCATTCCATACAATGCAAAGCAAGTGTCTTGCCTAAGGATACAACTACAATAGATTGGTCGAATTCTCACCTTCCTGAGGAACACAAACTGTGACAGTTTGTGACGGGTAGGGATTGTCGAACCACACACCTCATCTTCTGAGGTTGTGTAGGTCATCGCTGTACCTGTTAAGCTATCACAGTCCCGAGTGTTACAGTTAATCTGTTACTGTTGATGATGGTATACCTTGTTACATAGGGAAGGCCATGTATTAGAACTCTGTTGAAGAGCTGTAGGCTGGAATGTTAGGAACATGGCTGATACATACAATACCTAATGTAATATGGTATGTAGGAACTAGGAACATTTTTTTTACCTACCACTGAGGTAATTATACATCAGTTGAATAATTGTAACATTTACTAGTCCGGTGTTATATAGCTACCAACCCAAATTTATGTACAGAATCATCCAGCTGTATACTTCTACAACATCACTACTTCCTCCATGTTTGATATCCAGAATCAGATCAATCAAGAATATCAACATTACCAGTTTTATTTTCCCCTTAAAAATAAAAAAGATGTCAAGAATTGATACAGAATGCACAGCCCATGTCATACATAAGTATATCATACACTTATTTTGGTAAGAGAGTTGAAGTCTAAATTTCATTTTACTTCCAACTATCCTTATATGGGCATGATATCATTAATGTTTGTGTCACCTGTGTATAGATATTGACCGACACTCCCTGAGGCCTTTGTTGAAACCTAATGCAATTATTTGTTGTGCTGTAAATAGTGAGCTGTATCTGAACTTTAGAGATCAAAGTGTTGTGTCCTGTCACCTTTCTTTTGCCATAATTACCATAGGCATTTCTCAATATCCTGTGTCCTAGTTATCAAACAAAGCTCATCTTTCTACCCTCCTTGTCAATTACTGGGAAATCTAAATGGATCATTGACACAGCTCACATGCAATATTCATGGAAGTCTCATTTTTATGGATCTTGTCTCTAATCTTAGAGTCAAGGTGTCTGAATAGAGAAAAACTTGATGATTAAAGATAGACACACATTTATAGTTACACACACAGACGAGAATGTTTGTTTGCTGATAGACACACATATATAGTTACACACACAGACGAGAATGTTTGTTTGCTGATAGACACACATTTATAGTTACAGACGAGAATGTTTGTTTGCTGATAGACACACATTTATAGTTACAGACGAGAATGTTTGTTTGCTGATAGACACACATTTATAGTTACAGACGAGAATGTTTGTTTGCTGATAGACACACATTATTAGTTACAGACACAGACGAGAATGTTTGTTTGCTGATAGACACACATTATTAGTTACAGACACAGACGAGAATGTTTGTTTGCTGATAGACACACATTTACAGTTACAGACGAGAATGTTTGTTTGCTGATAGACACACATTTATAGTTACAGACGAGAATGTTTGTTTGCTGATAGACACACATTTATAGTTACAGACGAGAATGTTTGTTTGCTGATAGACACACATTTATAGTTACAGACGAGAATGTTTGTTTGCTGATAGACACACATTTATAGTTACAGACGAGAATGTTTGTTTGCTGATAGACACACATTTATAGTTACAGACGAGAATGTTTGTTTGCTGATAGACACACATTTATAGTTACAGACGAGAATGTTTGTTTGCTGATAGACACACATTTATAATTACACACACAGACGAGAATGTTTGTTTGCTGATAGACACACATTTATAGTTACAGACGAGAATGTTTGTTTGCTGATAGACACACATTTATAGTTACAGACGAGAATGTTTGTTTGCTGATAGACACACATTATTAGTTACAGACGAGAATGTTTGTTTGCTGATAGACACACATTTATAGTTACAGGCGAGAATGTTTGTTTGCTGATAGACACACATTTATAGTTACAGACGAGAATGTTTGTTTGCTGATAGACACACATTTATAGTTACAGACGAGAATGTTTGTTTGCTGATAGACACACATTTATAGTTACACACACAGACGAGAATGTTTGTTTGCTGATAGACACACATTTATAGTTACAGACGAGAATGTTTGTTTGCTGATAGACACACATTTATAGTTACAGACGAGAATGTTTGTTTGCTGATAGACACACATTTATAGTTACAGACGAGAATGTTTGTTTGCTGATAGACACACATTTATAATTACAGACGAGAATGTTTGTTTGCTGATAGACATACATTTATAGTTACAGACGAGAATATTTGTTTGCTGATAGACACACATTTATAGTTACAGACGAGAATGTTTGTTTGCTGATAGACACACATTTATAGTTACAGACGAGAATGTTTGTTTGCTGATAGACACACATTTATAGTTACAGACGAGAATGTTTGTTTGCTGATAGACACACATTTATAATTACACACACAGACGAGAATGTTTGTTTGCTGATAGACACACATTTATAGTTACAGACGAGAATGTTTGTTTGCTGATAGACACACATTTATAGTTACAGACGAGAATGTTTGTTTGCTGATAGACACACATTATTAGTTACAGACGAGAATGTTTGTTTGCTGATAGACACACATTTATAGTTACAGACGAGAATGTTTGTTTGCTGATAGACACACATTTATAGTTACAGACGAGAATGTTTGTTTGCTGATAGACACACATTATTAGTTACAGACGAGAATGTTTGTTTGCTGATAGACACACATTTATAGTTACAGACGAGAATGTTTGTTTGCTGATAGACACACATTATTAGTTACAGACGAGAATGTTTGTTTGCTGATAGACACACATTATTAGTTACAGACGAGAATGTTTGTTTGCTGATAGACACACATTTATAGTTACAGGCGAGAATGTTTGTTTGCTGATAGACACACATTTATAGTTACAGACGAGAATGTTTGTTTGCTGATAGACACACATTTATAGTTACAGGCGAGAATGTTTGTTTGCTGATAGACACACATTTATAGTTACAGACGAGAATGTTTGTTTGCTGATAGACACACATTTATAGTTACAGACGAGAATGTTTGTTTGCTGATAGACACACATTTATAGTTACAGACGAGAATGTTTGTTTGCTGATAGACACACATTTATAGTTACAGACGAGAATGTTTGTTTGCTGATAGACACACATTTATAGTTACAGACGAGAATGTTTGTTTGCTGATAGACACACATTATTAGTTACAGACGAGAATATTTGTTTATTTCAGGATCATGTAATTATGAAATAGACAAGACTTAATAATACAAATGTTTATATACCTGGTTATATGGTATATATGTACCCAAATTATGCTAGAGACAGTAAATAATCTCTGTAATTAATCCTTAATTATGTCTAGACAATGTAAATAATCTCTTTCATTAATCCTTATTTACGTCTATAGACAGTAAATAATCTCTGTAATTAATCCTTAATTATGTCTAGACATTGTAAATAATCTCTTTCATTAATCCTTTATTATGTCTATAGACAGTAAATAATCTCTGTAATTAATCCTTATTTACGTCTAAAGACACTAAATAATTTCTGTAATTAATCCTTAATGATGCCTAGACATTGTAAATAATCTCTTTCATTAATCCTTTATTATGTCTATAAACAGTAAATAATCTCTGTAATTAATCCTTAATGATGTCTAGACAATATAAATAATCTCTTTCATTAATCCTTATTTACGTCTAAAGACAGTAAATAATCTCTTTAATTAATCCTTAATGATGTCTAGACATTGTAAATAATCTCTTTAATTAATCCTTTATTATGTCTATAGACAGTAAATAATCTCTTTAATTAATCCTTAATTATGTCTAGACAATGTAAATAATTTCTGTAATTAATCCTTAATGATGCCTAGACATTGTAAATAATCTCTTTCATTAATCCTTAATTATGTCTATGGACAGTAAATAATCTCTTTCATTAATCCTTATTTACGTCTAAAGACAGTAAATAATCTCTGTAATTAATCCTTAATTATGTCTAGACAGTAAATAATCTCTTTCATTAATCCTTATTTACGTCTAAAGACAGTAAATAATCTCTGTAATTAATCCTTAATTATGTCTAGACATTGTAAATAATCTCTTTAATTAATCCTTAATTATGTCTAGACAGTAAATAATCTCTTTCATTAATCCTTATTTACGTCTAAAGACAGTAAATAATCTCTTTAATTAATCCTTAATGATGTCTAGACAATATAAATAATCTCTTTAATTAATCCTTTATTATGTCTATAGACAGTAAATAATCTCTTTAATTAATCCTTAATTATGTCTAGACATTGGAAATAATCTCTGTAATTAATCCTTAATTATGTCTATAGACAGTTAATAATCTCATTAATTAATCCTTAATTATGTCTAGACAATGTATATTATTCTCTTCAGTTAATCTGTCATCATTTCTTAATGAAATATACATATGTAGGTCTGTTAGACTGCAGATTCAGAAACACATCCAGGTGGCCAGCAATCACATGTGTATATCAAATAAAAAACAAAGCAGGTTTTTATCTTTAACTTTTGTCTAACAAGATACAGATGCTTTGCTATAGCTTTGGTGTGAAAGTTCAAGGTCAAAGTCAAGCAGAATATATGGTGCCAAGGTCAGATTTTCAATGACAGATTTGGCTACAGGTGAATGTTAGGGAAGACCTGTAAATATAGCCACAACTTTCCAAATGTAATTGTTTTATCTGAATTCTATATATTTTGTTTCAGGGTTCTGACCCTCTGGTGTCAACAGCGCGAGGAAAATTACAAACCAAGAGATCCAAAATCAATGACCAGATCAACAGGGAGCTGAGGATGAGGAATGGTGCTGAAAATCTGTTCCGGTATGTGATAGGGTCTTGGGTCAGACAATTTAAATTCATGTAAAATTTCTCTTTAAAATTATCTTTAATTTTCAGGAATAATAAACAACCTGTTTATATGAAACACAGAGAAAAACACGAGTTCAGTGTGTAGAGACACAACAAGTGCTTGGTGAACATATAATTATTTAGATTTTGTCACTCTGAAGTAGGCTGATAGGTGTCAAAGCTGACATGTTTTATTGTCAGACATCAGATATGACCTGACACACTTATAATTAAATTATTGTTAATTACAATAATATAAGTTTCTGTCTGTTTGTCTTTTATCTGTGTAGCACATGTCAACACTGTTCAGAGAAAACATGTACATAGGAATAGTGATACATATATGTGTAGCTACATATACCCCTCTGATGAACTCTAGTATATGTGTAGGTACATATACCCCTCTGATAAGCTCTAGTATATGTGTAGGTACATATACACCTCTGATGAACTCTAGTATATGTGTAGGTATAGCTACCCCTCTGATGAACTCTAGTACATGTGTAGGTATAGCTACCCCTCTGATGAACTCTAGTACATGTGTAGGTATAGCTACCCCTCTGATGAACTCTAGTATATGTGTAGGTATAGCTACCCTTCTGATAAACTCTAGTACATGTGTAGGTATAGCTACCCCTCTGATGAACTCTAGTATATGTGTAGGTATAGCTACCCCTCTGATGAACTCTGGTATATGTGTAGGTATAGCTACCCCTCTGATGAACTCTAGTACATGTGTAGGTATAGCTACCCCTCTGATGAACTCTAGTATATGTGTAGGTACATATACCCCTCTGATGAACTCTAGTACCCGGTATATGTGTAGGTACATATACCCCTCTGATAAGCTCTAGTATATGTGTAGGTACATATACCCATCTGATGTACTCTAGTATATATCTAGGTATAGCTACCCCTCTGATAAACTCTAGTACATGTGTAGGTATAGCTACCCCTCTGATGAACTCTAGAATATGTGTAGGTATAGCTACCCCTTTTATAAACTCTAGTATATGTGTAGGTACATATACCCCTCTGATAAACTCTAGTATATATCTAGGTATAGCTACCCCTCTGATGAACTCTAGTACATGTGTAGGTATAGCTACCCCTCTGATGAACTCTAGTACATGTGTAGGTATAGCTACCCCTCTGATGAACTCTAGTACATGTGTAGGTACATATACCCATCTGATGTACTCTAGTATATGTGTAGGTATAGCTACCCCTCTGATAAACTCTAGTATATGTGTAGGTATAGTTACCCCTCTGATGAACTCTAGTACATGTGTAGGTATAGCTACCCCTCTGATGAACTCTAGTACATGTGTAGGTATAGCTACCCCTCTGATGAACTCTAGTACATGTGTAGGTATAGCTACCCCTCTGATGAACTCTAGTACATGTGTAGGTACATATACTAGAGTACATCAGATGGGTATATGAACTCTAGTACATGTGTAGGTATAGCTACCCCTCTGATGAACTCTAGTACATGTGTAGGTATAGCTACCCCTCTGATAAACTCTAGTATATATCTAGGTATAGCTACCCCTCTGATGAAATCTAGAATGAGAATAATTATTCTTAACATACTAAAGGCACAGGTAGATTACAGGGACCTAAAGATAAATTCTAATTATCATTACACTACAAAGTATTTGATACTTGACAATCCTAGATCAATGTTCAGGTTTAATCAATATTGAGAGAATTTTATTTGTATCAAAGTCTATATTTAAAGTTCAGTTCCCCAGATAAAAATTCCCATGACTTAATTTCTTCCTTACTAAATTTATTATATTAATTATAACAGAAAAATCATGATTATAGTACTGAAAAAGGAAGATTTGTAAAATATTTGAAAACTCTAACATTGAAAGCTACTTTATATTTTAACATTTGGTGATTGTATTGATTTCTTATTTCAAGGTCGCATGAGATAAAGTCTACCAAGTTTGTTAAAATCGATGACCTTATCCACTTTTAATTTTAAAGGGGTCAAATGCATTCAAATCTTCAGGCAACTTCATCTCAATGACCAAAAGGCCCAGGGTCATGATATTTAGCCAGGATAATCTTTAAATTACTCATTATCAATGATAAAGAAGTACAGGTTCATAATATTTGGTCAGTAGGCTGGGATAAAGAGCTACCAAGTATGTTCAGATGAATGTCCTTGACCCACTTTCAAGATCAAATGGGTTAAATGTGATAAGATCTTTAAAGGACATTTCCTCAATTTAAACATGGGATGGCAGTTTGCTGGTATAGACATATTGGATAAAATTGTGTTCATGAGGAGATGGATGTGGCCAAAAAGGATCAGATTTGACTGAAATTTCAAAACTCTTCTTCTCAATACCCAGAAATGATCAAATGCCCATATGGAATGGTCTAAAGGTGCTATACAAGAGTTGTGAATTTCCTAGCCCTGGAGCCCTAAATTTCCCCCTAGGAAGGTGGCTAACCAACTAAAGTTTATACAATTAGTGAAATTCAACTTTCTAGGACATTATGTTTTACTGCTGTTGCAAGGAAATATGACAAGCTTTGTCAGCATTATCAGTATAGGATGACAGTTTGATTTTATGCACTTGTTGACATTGACTGGGGCCAGAACACCCAGGAATGACAAAATCATATATTCTTCATAGATGGCAGGATCTTTAGGTGCTTTACCTCTGGTGTCCTTACATTTTCATCTGAGAGGGGTTTAAATTTATTGAAGTTTGTAAAGGTAAATAATGTTTTTGAGTATCATTTTTAAAACATTAGAAATAATGCAAAAATTGGTCAGAATTTTTTGTAGAGGATGGCAGATTGACAATGATCACATATTTACAGGGGCTGATGGGCGGGGCCAAAACTTTATCAAATTGCCTGAAATGTTCATAACTCAGGTGACTGTTAACACTCATGGCCCTCTTGTATATGTATTCTCTGTTATCATGTTTTCTGTCTTAATGGATCATGTGATTATAGTAACAATGTTATACATAACCTAATACACCAGTTATGGTATGATTGTACTAAAGTATTCAACTGGAACACCACGCTGAACAACAGAAAGGAAATATCACATATTACTCTATCTCAACTCAGATATAAGTGAGTGGTGTGTGTCTGTGTGACTCAGCTGATGGGTCTGTATGACTTGTACATAGTGTTAAATACGGTTTCTGTCACTCAGCTGACAGGTTGATGTGACTTGTACATAGTGTTAAATACGATTGCTGTCACTTAGCTGATGGGTCTGTGTGACTTGTACAAAGTGTTAAATTCAATCTCTGTCACTCAGCTGATTGGTCTATGTGACTTGCACAGTGTTAAATTCAATCTCTGTCACTCAGCTGATGGGTCTGTGTGACTTGTCCATAGTGTTAAATTCAATCTCTGTCACTCAGCTGATGGGTCCGTGTGACTTGTACAAAGTGTTAAATTAAATCTCTGTCACTCAGCTGATGGGTCCGTGTGACTTGTACAAAGTGTTAAATACGATTGCTGTCACTCAGCTGACAGGTTGATGTGACTTGTACATAGTGTTAAATACGATTGCTGTCACTCAGCTGACAGGTTGATGTGACTTGTACATAGTGCTAAATATGATTGCTGTCACTCAGATGATAGGTCTGTGTGTCTTTTACATATTATATTAAATGTGGTCCCTGTCACTCCGCTGACAGAGTCTCTGTTTCCATGATTCAATTGAATGGGTTGATCTGCTGATTATCATGGCGGAGACCCTTGGGAGTGTTTAGGAATGTTCAACAAGAGTGTATTTTTCCTTGTTCTTTTATGTAATTTTCCATTCATAAAGTAACTTCATGTTGATAACTGACCAAACAATTTTTGATGTGAGGTGATCTTCAGTTTTTGTATCTTATATTTCCAGAGCTACTGGTAATAAAAGACTAAAGGAACTGGTAGCTGTTGAATTGTCTTTTTTCAACTCCAATATCCAACTTCTCAAAGAAGAACTGTCAGAGCTGAACAGCTCTATGGAAGTTTATCAACATGACAGGTAATGAGACTCTTTATATCACTTTAAAAAATCTATGAAAGATAAGGTTGTTATGGAAATAGCAGTATTAAAAACCAGGTTGTCATGGAAATAGCAGTATTAAACACCAGGTTGTCATGGAGATAGCAGTATTAAAAACAGGTTGTCATGGAGATAGCAGTATTAAAAACCAGGTTGTCATGGAGATAGCAGTATTAAAAAAACAGGTTGTCATGGAGATAGCAGTATTAAAAACCAGGTTGTCATTGAGATTAGCAGTATTAAAAAAACAGGTTGTCATGGAGATAGCAGTATTAAAAAACAGGTTGTCATGGAGATAGCAGTATTAAAAACCAGGTTGTCATTGAGATAGCAGTATTAAAAAACCAGGTTGTCATGGAGATAGCAGTAATAAAAAAACAGGTTGTCATGGAGATAGCAGTAATAAAAAAACAGGTTGTCATGGAGATAGCAGTAATAAAAAAGCAGGTTGTCATGGAGATAGCAGTAATAAAAAAGCAGGTTGTCATGGAGTATAAAACAAGCCCCAAGACTATCAACTCGCACGTACATTGTTCTGTACGCTTACGTCATGTCGAGAATTCCGTAAAATATATTGTTCAAAATTTATCAATAGTTCAACCACACTGTGCTTCTTTTTTAAAATATATAGTGATCGTGGCATTATTTACGCAGAAAATTGCTGCTAGAGGGCTCTAACTCTTTTCGATATTTCAGCCAATGAGAAGACCAAGATCAGTAAATTTTGTCTGAAAGGCCGTCGCAATAGGCTATGCGTACTGAGTATGTTTAGCCTAAAAACCAGGTTGTCATGGAGATAGCAGTATTAAAAAACAGGTTGTCATGGAGATAGCAGTAATAAAAAAACAGGTTGTCATGGAGATAGCAGTATTACAAAAAATGATGTCAGTTGTTCAGTTTGATTCAGGAACAAAATAGCAGCATCAAACTTTTGTTATCCTAACATGCCCTAAAATACTTGATAACCATGATATAGTGAATCAACACAGATCAGGGTTTTTTATGGTACTTTCATGTTTGTAATATTATATATATATATATCTGTACAGTAGGAAGAGCATGCCTGTATTGAGTCTAACAGTATCTTACACTGTTCAGTACAATTACCAGGAACAGATTTCATTGTCCTATACTAACCACAACCCCAGAATTTTGAGTCAAGATTTAATGTGTTGAATCCCTAATAAACCCAGCCCCACAGAATGTGAGTCATAGTTACATGTCCTCCCCAAATAAGCCCATCCCTGAATTTTTGAGTTGATAGTAACTGTGTTAGATCCCTGATAAGCCCACCCCCAGACTGTCAGATATAGTTATGAGTCAGCCCCCCCAAATAAGCCCATCTCAGAGAGTTATTGTGTTGGCCTGCATGGACTTATCAAGGATGGATACCTCACTGTCTGAATCTTGTTTTACAATAAACTATACAGAAAAATACCTCAGTATTTTTATTTATTTTCAGTAGTGCAGCTTGCATTCCCATGATTCCACTGGGTCTGAAGGAGACAACAGAATGTGACCTGACTGTCCCTTTAAAGGTGATAATAAGTCAACAGAAACTTTGAATATGGTGTTAATTTATATGTTAATAGAGAAGTAAGGGCTTTTTATAGATATTATTTAAAATGAACTTTTACATCAAAGGAAATTGATTGCCTTTAACGTCTTTTAAACATTTATCGTGACAAGCTTTGTGAAAATCATATGTGAAAATAGTAGTTATGTTCTTAAACAGAATTTCCTGTCCTCACTACTTTTAGGTCTAGTTAAACTGTTGATTGTTGGAAAAACATAGTTTATCTTTTAGTAATGTAACAGGTTTTTAACGTATAATGCTTTAGAACATAATTTTGCCGATTGAAGTACTGATGATTGGAAGGAGAGAAAACAATGAAAGACAGGAGGTATTGTTTGAGAATCATTGATATGATATATACAAATACATCATTCACATTGCTAGGACTTTATCCTGGAGCACTATAGTGAAGATTCTGAAAACTACACAACAGAGATTCAGGAACTGCTTGATTTGCGACAGGTGAGTTATCCTCTCCTCCTCATAATTTGCTTTAATGTACATATTTCAGGCTGTCATAATTTGCTTTAATGTACATATTTCAGGCTGTCATAATTTGCTTTAATGTACATATTTCAGGCTGTCATAATTTGCGATAATGTACATATTTCAGGCTGTCATAATTTGCTTTAATGTACATATTTCAAGCTATTATAATTTGCTTTAATGTACATATTTCAGGCTGTCATAATTTGCTTTAATGTACATATTTCAGGCTGTCATAATTTGCTTTAATGTACATATTTCAGGCTGTCATAATTTGCGATAATGTACATATTTCAAGCTATTATAATTTGCTTTAATGTACATATTTCAGGCTGTCATAATTTGCTTTAATGTACATATTTCAGGCTGTCATAATTTGCTTTAATGTACATATTTCAGGCTGTCATAATTTGCTTTAATGTACATATTTCAGGCTGTCATAATTTGCTTTAATGTACATATTTCAGGCTGTCATAATTTGCTTTAATGTACATATTTCAGGCTGTCATAATTTGCTTTAATGTACATATTTCAGGCTGTCATAATTTGCGATAATGTACATATTTCAGGCTGTCATAATTTGCTTTAATGTACATATTTCAGGCTGTCATAATTTGCTTTAATGTACATATTTCAGGCTGTCATAATTTGCGATAATGTACATATTTCAGGCTATTATAATTTGCTTTAATGTACATATTTCAGGCTGTCATAATTTGCTTTAATGTACATATTTCAGGCTGTCATAATTTGCGATAATGTACATATTTCAAGCTATTATAATTTGCTTTAATGTACATATTTCAGGCTGTCATAATTTGCTTTAATGTACATATTTCAGGCTGTCATAATTTGCTTTAATGTACATATTTCAGGCTGTCATAATTTGCTTTAATGTACATATTTCAGGCTGTCATAATTTGCTTTAATGTACATATTTCAGGCTGTCATAATTTGCTTTAATGTACATATTTCAGGCAATAAGAACTCCTCAGCGTAACGAGGACGGCATCAACCTTCTTACAGAATACTTCAATCAGCTGTATTATGTGGAGCGACGATTCTTCCCTCCAGACAGAGTCATCGGCTGTTACTTTCACTGGTATAGTCATCATATCAGTTCTATAGGATCTCTGATAACTTGATGTCAGATACAAACTTTAACTATTTGTTAAAACTTTTTCATCCTACAGAATAAAGAAAAACCACACAAACAGAATTAATGTCACTTCCTGTTTTGTAACTTTCAAGCTTGTAAGAAATTTGTAGAGCCAAAGTTTCCTATTCTAGATTTTACTACATAGAATGTCCATATTTTAGGTATGGTTATTTATAATTCACGATACTAATTATACCTATTTTTGTTTGGTTGGCTCCATTATGAATTTACTCTGTATCAAGGACAAAGTAGAATGAGTGAAATAAAAGGTGAAAAAAGTCTTAAAGTAATAATTTTGTGGTCAAAGGTTATTACCATTGTGACTGATTTCACTACTGTTTCAATTCATTTCAAATCAATATCTGTCAATATAAAAAAGTGTCTCAAGGTCTCTAACAAATTCTGCCATATTTCTTAATGTCGTTCATTTTAAACATGAATGTGTCTGATTAAATTGTACAGTAGGATTGTCTTTCATTAACAAGGTATGACTCATTGACGGGCGTGCCAAACACTCAGAAGACCATGGGCTTTGAGAAAGGCAGCATCTTGTTCAACATAGCAGCATTACATACTCAGATTGGCTGTAAGGAGGTAAGGAGTGTCATAATAACAATGGTGGCCAATATGATTTTGTGACGAAGAGAATATAATATTGAAGGTCAAAATGCTGAATTACTGTACTTAGTCTTGTTGGGTAAAATCTATTGTGTGTAATATAGTATGTGGAGGTGATAGCCAAGCATTGGCAATCATTCAAATCATCTTCCTAAAACCGAGAAAAACATTCTTAATCAAGTATTTTAGATGTGCATCATTGATTACACGTGAAGTTGAATATTTTTGACAAATGTTATGTAAAATTTACTAATATAGTGATCTTTCACGTGGTATCATTTGTTAATTCCTGTTTGAGATGTTAAAACTGCTGATAACTGCTGATATGATTTTGTGAAAAAAGGTTTCTGGATTAAGAGATAAAAGAAGTTTGTAACATATTCAAATACCTAGAATCAAAACATCTTTCATTTCAGGACCGCACCAATGCCACTGGTCTACAATATGCCATTAATAGTTTCCAGAAGGCTGCTGGGACATTTCGTTATCTTCACAATCATTTCTCTAACGCACCTAGTATGGACATGCAGCCGCAGACTCTAACAATGATGGTCCAGCTCATGATGGTAACATATACAATACTAATTGTCTTTAATCAAATGGTACATGCTGAAGTTCTTCCATATCTGAGAGTTTGAGGTGTAAAGTTAATATCTGAGAGTTTGAGGTATAAAGTTTGATAAATAAATATCTAAATATCTGAGAGTTTGAGGTATAAAGTTTGATAAATAAATATAAAAATATCTGAGAGTTTGAGATATAAAGTTTGATAAATAAATATCAAAATATCTGAGAGTTTGAGTATAAAGTTTGATATAAAGTTTATAAATAAATATCAAAATATCTGAGAGTTTGAGATAAATAAATATCTAAATATCTGAGAGTTTGATATAAAGTTTGATAAATAAATATCAAAATATCTGAGAGTTTGAGGTATAAAGTTTGATAAATAAATATCAAAATATCTGAGAGTTTGAGATATAAAGTTTGATAAATAAATATCAAAATATCTGAGAGTTTGAAGTATAAAGTTTGATAAATAAATATCTAAATATCTGAGAGTTTGAAGAGTTTGAGGTGTAAAGTTAATATCTGAGAGTTTGAGGTATAAAGTTTGATAAATAAATATCTAAATATCTGAGAGTTTGAGGTATAAAGTTTGATAAATAAATATCTAAATATCTGAGAGTTTGAAGTATAAAGTTTGATAAATAAATATCTAAATATCTGAGAGTTTGAGGTATAAAGTTAATATCTGAGAGTTTGAGGTATAAAGTTAATATCTGAGAGTTTGAGGTATAAAGTTAATATCTGAGAGTTTGAGGTATAAAGTTAATATCTGAGAGTTTGAGGTATAAAGTTTGATAAATAAATATCAAAATATCTGAGAGTTTGAAGTATAAAGTTAATATCTGAGAGTTTGAGGTATAAAGTTAATATCTGAGAGTTTGAGGTATAAAGTTTGATAAATAAATATCAAAATATCTGAGAGTTTGAGATATAAAGTTTGATAAATAAATATCAAAATATTGGAAGTTTTCAAAAGCCTGTAACTTACAAGAAATCTGTATATATGTACATAGACAACGTTTGAAGGCTCCCAAGTCCGAGGAGTTTGATAATTGTTATTTAATGTTTTAGAAACAAATCAATAAAATCAAGTATTATCTGTGTATAACACATTTGCAAACTTATTTGAGATGTTTCACTGACGATTTTGTTGAATTGTCTTCTGTTGTGTTATATCAATGAACTGAGGTCTACATAATGGTTACCACATGGTAAGAAAGGGTGCAGCTTACATCTCTGATGCAGCTTATATGTGGATCAAATTGAAAAAAATTGTCTTATAATCCCAAAAAATACAGTAAACATTAAATTCTACACCTGATTAGACTACTCACAACTCAAAAAAAAAAAAAAAAATTGTAACCAAGTCCCTTTGATGGATGAAATGTAAGAGCGTTTGGGTTTACAAAAACAGAGGAGTTGCCGTATAAGATTTAGACTAACCTTGTGTTTTCAGAGTCAGGCCCAGGAATGCGTGTTTGAGAGCAAAGTTCTCGGTGGTGTGGAGGGAATTCTAAATCACGTTAAAGCTGCCCAGGAAGCCATTGTGGTATGTTCCCTGTAAAATATAAGACTACGTTTGCCACTATCTGTGTGTGTGTTTATTTATTCTTTAAGACCCTTTATGTTTTCGATGTGTTCTTTAATATTGATCAAGAACAACCTACCAATATTGAAATATTTGATCAGTTTCTTCAGGAAAATGTATCATATTAGGGTATTGGGGTCGGACTGTGATAATGTAGTCATACTTCACCATGGCGACTGTTGTTTGATAACTCTAGGGGTCGGACTGTGATAATGTAGTCATACTTCACCATGGCGACTGTTGTTTGATAACTCTAGGGGTCGGACTGTGATAATGTAGTCATACTTCACCATGGCGACTGTTGTTTGATAACTCTAGGGGTCGGACTGTGATAATGTAGTCATACTTCACCATGGCGACTGTTGTTTGATAACTCTAGGGGTCGGACTGTGATAATGTAGTCATACTTCACCATGGCAACTGTTGTTTGATAACTGTAGGAGATATAAATAGGTGTGGGGTCTTTTGCCAAACCATGGCAGCTTTACCTTGTCAGTCAGGTTTTCTCCCACATATTTCTACATGGAGCAACAAGTAAGATCGCTATATGCTGATAAACTGATTTGTCCTGTAATAAACTGAGGGGACAATGAAAAAACTGACTCAAGGCCAGGAGTTTGGTTAACTACAGGATAATGAAATATTAGTCATTGGAAATTCTCCAGAAAATGATCAGCAGACACAGAGTACTGATTCAAACTCAGGGGATGGGCTTATTTCAGGACATCAGAATAGCATTTGTTAAGTCTGCAGTTTGTTTATTTCACAATGAAGTTAATATGTGTGATTAATATGATGTTTGTTTATTTCACAATAAAGTTTATATGTGGAATAAATATGATAAGTTTGTTTATTTCACAATGAAGTTTATATGTGTGATAAATATGATGTTTGTTTATTTCACAATAAAGTGTATATATGTGGGATAAATATGATGTTTGTTTATTTCAAAATAAATTTTATATATGTGATAAATATGATGTTTGTTTATTTCACAATAAAGTGTATATATGTGGAATAAATATGATAAGTTTGTTTATTTCACAATAAAGTTTATATGTGTGATAAATATGTTTGTTTATTTCACAATAAAGTGTATATATGTGATAAATATGATGTTTGTTTATTTCACAATAAAGTGTATATATGTGGGATAAATATGATGTTTGTTTATTTCACAATAAATTTTATATATGTGATAAATATGATGTTTGTTTATTTCACAATAAATTTTATATATGTGATAAATATGATGTTTGTTTATTTCACAATAAAGTGTATATAAATGTTAAATATGATGTTTGTTTATTTTACAATAACATGTATATATGTGGGATAAATATGATATGTTTGTTTCTTTATCTATTTTACAGGAAAAATTCTGATATCTTTAACCCTAATATTTACTGATTAATTGTTTCTTGATAAAAGTAGATTGCTTGTAGAGAGCTTTTTGTTTACTAACAGGTATCACAGATGTATGATGACACACAAGTTCTGATGGCCTCTGAGCCCATGAAGGATTACATCCCCTACTCCTGGCTGTCCATGACGCAGGTGAAATCTCAGTACTACATGGCTATCGCCCATGAACATATGGCCAGTGCAATATTGAACCACAAAGGTATGGAAAAACCAGAAACCGTTTGATAATCAATAAAACAGACCAGTTCTTGATATAAATTCAGCACATTACGTGCTCAAGTTTCAAACTCTGATGGGACGAATCTTCTCTTTATAATATAGACAAGGAATCCATTTCTGAAGCTGAAGTCTAATTATATTTATGTTGTTTCACACAGTACTGGTGTCACATTTGAAATGGAATATATTTCAGAATCTCTCTAGATCCGAAAACAATACTGCTTTACAAAGTTGACAAGAAAGTCTTTATATATACTAGATATATAATTGTTCAAATTTAAATATTGTCTTCTAGATATATAATTGTTTAAATTTAAATATTGTCTTCTAGATATATAATTGTTTAAATTTAAATATTGTCTTTGTTTAAATTTAAATATTGTTGTCTAGATATATAATTGTTTAAATTTAAATATTGTCTTCTAGATATATAATTGTTTAAATTTAAATATTGTCTTTGTTTAAATTTAAATATTGTTGTCTAGATATATGATTGTTTAAATTTAAATATTGTCTTCTAGATATATAATTGTTTGAATTTAAATATTGTCTTTGTTTAAATTTAAATATTGTTGTCTAGATATATAATTGTTTAAATTGAAATATTGTCTTCTAGATAAATAATTGTTTAAATCGAAATATCGTCTTCTAGATAAATAATGGTTTAAATTTAAATATTGGTGTCTAGATATATAATTGTTTAAATTGAAATATTGTTGTCTAGATATATAATTGTTTAAATTGAAATATTGTCTTCTAGATAAATAATTGTTTAAATCGAAATATCGTCTTCTAGATAAATAATGGTTTAAATTTAAATATTGTCTTCTAGATAAATAATTGTTTAAATTTAAATATTGTCTTCTAGATAAATAATGGTTTAAATTTAAATATTGGTGTCTAGATAAATAATTGTTTAAATTTAAATATTGTTGTCTAGATATATAATTGTTTAAATTGAAATATTGTCTTCTAGATAAATAATTGTTTAAATTTAAATATTGTCTTCTAGATAAATAATGGTTTAAATTTAAATATTGGTGTCTAGATATATAATTGTTTAGATTTAAATATTGTCTTCTAGATATATAATGGTTTAAATTTAAATATTGGTGTCTAGATATATAATTGTTTAGATTTAAATATTGTCTTCTAGATAAATAATGGTTTAAATTTAAATATTGGTGTCTAGATATATAATTAGGTAGAGTAGATAGTTTATGTATTAGATCAACTATTTTCACCTCTAAGAGTGAGGCTTTATTTGCACCTGATAAATCCACACCTTTACAGGCAAAACTAGTGGGTAGAGTATAAATAACCTTGAGACTGGATATGCTTGGGTAAGCTGTGATTGAAATATTAACATTTTATTTTCTCACCCGGCATGTCTTTCGATATCCTCTGATCAACCCACATACTTGAACACTGACATTGGCTTCACTTTTGCTGTTAACCAAGTTCAGATACAATGTGTCACATCACATGGAAGTGTTGTATTCCTTTGAAAAATCATACATAGCATGGGTTAACAAAATGATTTCAAAACTACTCTTAATATACTACAAATATACTTACATTTATCATCATTAATAAAAAAGATTAAAATAATGGTTGTATAATTTCATGTAGACAATAATGACCACATCAAACTCGGACTGTACATGGCTGCTCATCAGAACTCGGAGGTGGATGATGACAACAACAAGGTGGAAACACCTCGCACAGACAAGGAGAGACTCACTCATGGTAAGGAGTGTAATAATGTCAGATTTAAAATAATATTCACAGAAACATAGGGCTGAGACTTATTGTGGTGAGTGATGTTTATTTATTTAACAAAATGTATTTTTGAAAAGGTGTATGGGAGGGAGGAGGGGTGTAGATCTTTGGAAAAGGTATGTGGGAGGGAGGAGGGGTGTATATCTTTTGAAAAGGTGTGTGGGAGGGAGGAGGTGTGTATGTCTTTGGAAAAGGTGTGTGGGAGGGAGGAGGGGTGTAGATCTTTGGAAAAGGTGTGTGGGAGGGAGGAGGGGTGTAGATCTTTTGAAAAAGATGTGTGGGAGGGAGGAGGGGTGTATATCTTTGGAAAAGATGTGTGGGAGGGAGGAGGTGTGTATATCTTTGGAAAAGATGTGCGGGAGGGAGGAGGGGTGTAGATCTTTTGAAAAAGATGTGTGGGAGGGAGGAGGTGTGTATATCCTTTGAAAGATGTGTTGGAGGGAGGAGGGGTGTATATCTTTGGGAAAGGTGTGTGGGAGGGAGGAGGGGTGTATATCTTTGGAAATGGTGTGTGGGAGGGAGGAGGGGTGTATATCTTTGGAAAAGGTGTGTGGGAGGGAGGAGGGTGTAGATCTTTTGAAAAAGATGTGTGGGAGGGAGGAGGGGTGTTCTTTGGAAAAGGTGTGTGGGAGGGAGGAGGTGTGTATATCTTTGGAAAAGGTGTGTGGGAGGGAGTAGGGGTGTAGATCTTTGGAAAAGGTGTGTGGGAGGGAGGAGGGGTGTAGATCTTTTGAAAAAGATGTGTGGGAGGGAGGAGGTGTGTATATCTTTGGAAAAGATGTGTGGGAGGGAGGAGGGGTGTAGATCTTTTGAAAAAGATGTGTGGGAGGGAGGAGGTGTGTATATCTTTTGAAAGATGTGTGGGAGGGAGGAGGTGTGTATATCTTTTGAAAGATGTGTGGGAGGGTGGAGGGGTGTATATCATTGAAAAAGGGGATATTGGTCATTGTAAAAAATGGAATGAGTATGGTGACAAATGGTATGAGTTGGAGTTTCTGTTAAACTCAGAACAGTGTTATTTCTAGATCACTTATTGGATAATGATTAATTTGTGACAGGCAAGGCACACCTAAAGGAAGCTCTGATGAGTCATGAGGAGGCCTTACGATTGCATGACTTGTGTAAACAACTCCGTAAGATTGACCAGTTCCTCGGCATTCTTAAGCCTGCACATGAAAGGCAAGTAAGAGCGTCATATACAATGACGTCAGTGACGTTCATTATAATGTCTCATCTTATTACTCATTGAATAGAACATTTACAATATTATCAAATATCTTTGTATACAATTAACTTTTCATGTTGTACTTTTCTTACTGATACATGAACCTTAATAGTGCTGGTACTGGGAATGTTACTGATACATGAACCTGTAATAGTGCTGGTCCTGGAAATGTTACTGATACATAAACCTGTAATAGTGCTGGTATTGGGAATGTTACTGATACATGAACCTGTAATAGTTCTGGTCCTGGGAATGTTACTGATACATGAACTTGTAATAGTGCTGGTACTGGGAATGTTACTGATACATGAACTTGTAATAGTGCTGGTACTGGGAATGTTACTGATACATGAACCTGTTATAGTGCTGGTCCTGGGAATGTTACTGATACATGAACCTGTAATAGTGCTGGTCCTGGGAATGTTACTGATACATGAACCTGTTATAGTGCTGGTCCTGAGAATGTTACTGATACATGAACCTGTTATAGTGCTGGTCCTGGGAATGTTACTGATACATGAACCTGTAATAGTGCTGGTCCTGGGAATGTTACTGATACATGAACCTGTAATAGTGCTGGTCCTGGGAATGTTACTGATACATGAACCTGTAATAGTGCTGGTCCTGGGAATGTTACTGATACATGAACCTGTAATAGTGCTGGTCCTGGGAATGTTACTGATACATGAACCTGTAATAGTGCTGGTCCTGGGAATGTTACTGATACATGAACCTGTAATAGTGCTGGTATTGGGAATGTTACTGATACATGAACCTGTAATAGTGCTGGTCCAGGGAATGTTACTGATACATGAACCTGTAATAGTGCTGGTCCTGGGAATGTTACTGATACATGAACCTGTAATAGTGCTGGTCCTGGAAATGTTACTGATACATAAACCTGTAATAGTGCTGGTATTGGGAATGTTACTGATACATGAACCTGTAATAGTTCTGGTCCTGGGAATGTTACTGATACATGAACTTGTAATAGTGCTGGTACTGGGAATGTTACTGATACATGAACTTGTAATAGTGCTGGTACTGGGAATGTTACTGATACATGAACTTGTAATAGTGCTGGTACTGGGAATGTTACTGATACATGAATCTGTAATAGTGCTGGTCCTGGGAATGTTACTGATACATGAACCTGTAATAGTTCTGGTCCTGGGAATGTTACTGATACATGAACTTGTAATAGTGCTGGTACTGGGAATGTTACTGATACATGAACTTGTAATAGTGCTGGTACTGGGAATGTTACTGATACATGAACTTGTAATAGTGCTGGTACTGGGAATGTTACTGATACATGAACCTGTAATAGTGCTGGTCCTGGGAATGTTACTGATACATGAACCTGTTATAGTGCTGGTCCTGAGAATGTTACTGATACATGAACCTGTTATAGTGCTGGTACTGGGAATGTTACTGATACATGAACCTGTAATAGTGCTGGTCCTGGGAATGTTACTGATACATGAACCTGTAATAGTGCTGGTCCTGGGAATGTTACTGATACATGAACCTGTAATAGTGCTGGTCCTGGGAATGTTACTGATACATGAACCTGTAATAGTGCTGGTCCTGTGAATGTTACTGATACATGAACCAGTAAAAGTGCTGGTCCTGGGAATGTTACTGATACATGAACCAGTAAAAGTGCTGGTCCTGGGAATGTTACTGATACATGAACCTGTAATAGTGCTGGTCCTGGGAATGTTACTGATACATGAACCTGTAATAGTGCTGGTCCTGGGAATGTTACTGATACATGAACCTGTAATAGTGCTGGTACTGGGAATGTTACTGATACATGAACCTGTAATAGTGTTGGTCCTGGGAATGTTACTGATACATGAACCTGTAAAAGTGCTGGTACTGGGAATGTTACTGATACATGAACCTGTAATAGTGCTGGTACTGGGAATGTTACTGTAACTTGCCATTTATTGTCTGGAATTTTTTAATCAAAACAAGTTTGCTGATGAATCATGATGAGTTGTAACAGAAATACTAAGAATTTTACATGTGGTGTAATAAGGTCTGTTTCACACACACAAAAGCTTATCACTGCAAACATGTGATGTAGAAATCAGAAATCACAAAAGGGGTTGGTTCACAGTATCATATTCTCTTATGATCAATTACAATTATAGGTGTCTAGCAAGCTTCTCAGAATTGGAAGAAGAAGACGATTTCACAGAAATTTTCATGTCTCCAAAAATCCAGCCAAAGTCGGAGCGTCCTGTCTCCCCTACGGCACCCGAGTTTACGAAGATCAAAGTGACAGACATATTTCAAAAACTGGTAAATATTTACAGTTGTTTGACAACATGAAATGTACATACAGAATGTTTGTTTGTCCCTTTGTAATTGCTCTGATTCCACTCTTGATGTAAATATGCCAGGAGACAGGAGATAAAATGCAGGCATTGCTGGTGTGAACATCGGGTTGGCAATGAACAAGATCATAAATCTTCAGTGCGAGCAACATTCTACTTTCCTTGTACACATATTTTTTATGGTAAATCTAATTTCTAGCCCAGTTTTATAGAGAGTAGCCTGTTCAAGTCACCGTGCATCTAATGTCCATCTGTCCCCCGTCCATCCTGTAACAATTCTCCTGATGGCTCTTTCTTTGTCCTAGGGAGTGCCGTTTAAATTTTGAGACTGTTGAGGGATTGCTATGTATGTTCCCTAGCTCCATTGTATTTTATGATAAATTTTAGGACTGTTATAAAATGGCTGATAGGCATCACCTTGAATTTAGAATTTTCTTTTGATGGATCATTTTCAGACTTTGTTGACAGCTTTCACTTTGTCCCTAGTCTAGCTGTGAATTTTGACATATTTCACTTAACATGTTAAAACTTAATGATATTCTGTATATTTTCAATATTACAGGGCCCTGTGTTAATTTTTAATGCCAAAAATGAGTGGTCAGCTCCTCGGACTGTGGTGCTTGACCGCAGTGCTGTCCAGGGATTTGGCTTCAGTGTTCGTGGTGACTGTCCAGTTAAAGTTGCAGAGATTGAAATGGGTAGTGTTGCTGAGGTGAGTCAATGTCTGCCTTCCTTTTAAAAAAAATATGTTGTCCTGCTTTAGAGTAGTCTTTATGGAATAGTTTTTTAGGTCATCTGACTGAAGGGTCTGATGACCTATTGCGATCGCCTTTTGTCCGGCATTGTCCGTCATAAACATTTTCAACTTCTTCTCAAGTTCTACATGTCTCATTGAGCTGAAACTTACCTGAAATGATCATGACATGATCATGACCAAAGTTTGTTAATTTCAGGTTGTTCCGTAATCCAACATGGCTGTCATGGCCGTCATCTTGAAAACACATTTTCGACTTCTTCTCAAGTTCAATATTTGAAATCTTGTATTTTATGTCAGATGACTGTTAAGGCCCATGGACCTCTGGTTTTCAGAAAGAAAGGACATTTCTTAACAAAATGTTATCCAGAATTTGATTAAGAATTGAAAACAAAAAATGAAATGAGTATGAAAACAGCATCAGCGCTGGTTTAACCTCTTACCACTAACATATAAGCCTGGTGTAAGGACTGTCCATCCATAGGGGAAAAAGACAAAAACTGTCTTTATTTTACAACGGGTGTGAAACAAGTTTTAAACTTATATTAATCATTTTTGTTGGCCAAGAGGGGATGAAGGGTATTATTGTGGGAGGAAACTGAATAACAGAGGGACAACTTGCCTCTATGCTAGAAATCGAACCCCGGACGCCTAGGTGGTAACCCAACCACCCCATCCCATCCCTGCATGATGAAGTCCCTTCTGTGATTTTTTGATGAAGAATAGATATGATAATGTCAGTTCAGAGATATAGGTTTAAGTTGAAAGAACATTTTTAAAGGAATAGTATGAACATCTAAATCCTAGGTCCATAGTTTCCTGTCAGAAAATTTTCATTATTCTGACATTAGTACAGAAAGGTCCATAAGTAGATGCAGGTTGCCTCCTCAAATCACTAGAACAGTGATGTTTGTTGTGTAGACAAAGCCTATCAATAGGACGATTCACAAAGACAGAAAATGTAACTAACCAACCCCACCCAAATTTACATCCTCATTACACATAAGTCCAACCCTAGAAACTATTGGATTTTCATTGATTGATGTAGATTAGTCAATAATATAGGCTACTTTCCTTTATCATTTGGATCAGGATTGTTTTAAAATCAGCATTAATCCAAAGTTCTTGATCTACTTCTGACAAAGATCTACATCCTGAAAAAGATCTACTTCCTGACAAAGACGATGAAGGCCTCTTTTAAATCTGCAAAAGTTATATCTGAAATGCTTCATTCAAACTATAGACAAATCTATTTGGCTTTAGATGAAAAGCCTTTACTCTTTATTTTACACAGATAATAGGGGAGATAACTCTTAATACACATTCACAGCTTTGCGACTCTTCATGCCCTAAAAAATGTCTACCAGTCCCAACCAATATTATATATAAAAACATATGTGCCAGCAGTTTCTCTGATTAATGAACAGATTTATTGTGTGCAGTCATGGAACATTGTTCAAGACCAGTGCTTAATTAATCTAGACAAATGTGTCTTTGAAAATTGGTTTTTATAATTTTGGTACTTGTGTGGTAAGTAAAATAATATATCGTAACTGCATGAATTTTAATTGAATTTCTTTTCCTTCTTCAGGCCAGTAAGTTGAAAGTTGGTGATTTTGTGGTGGCTGTGGGAAGTAAAGACGCCAAATGGTTAAGACATGAGGAGGTTGTGAATTTAGTGCGACAATCTGGTAGTCACCTTGAACTCACATTAGTAACTCCCATAAACAATAGTATGCTGGAAACCCCGCGCCCATCTTCTACGCCAAGTTCTCCAGGAACACCCATGCGGATGCAAAGCCCAGGAGAGAGTGTGTCTAGTCACAGTGTGAAAAGCAATCGTAGCAGACTTAGTGCTCCCTGGATTTTTATTCGTAAAGGATCCAAAGAAAAACAAGAAAAGCCAGAAAAGAGCAAAGAATTTGAAGATGGAGATTTGTTTTTGCGATAATTTTTTGTTAAAGTTTTTTTTTTTCAGAAAAAAAAGTGCACATTATCAAAAGGACTTTTAATCACAGTATTATGTTCAAATGTTTTATATATTATCATATATTATATTTTATTACATATAAATTTTGATATCAAAGGTTTGTTATTAAAGCAATATCTACATGTTATAGAGAGAGAGGGAGAGTAAATATCACACAATATATCATTGTCCTGTGTTGTTTGTTAGTTAACATGGATTGGAGTCAATGGCTTATTGTGGATTATTGATTAAGTAAAAAGTGCTCAATATGGCTTCAACAGATATGCAGAACCCTATTGTAAACATTTTCATGGTCAAAATTTTATTTCTTCGTATGAAATGAAAAATTCAAAATCTACCCTAATGCTTATATTTACCTCAAAAGTTGATTTACACAACACTCCAATAAGAATTGCAAGAGTTATGTCCCTTTTCAAGTCATATTGAAGAGCCCTTGAGGAGATATTTATGTTGTAGGTAGTGGATTGTTTCTGTGAACATTTCGGATGAGAAAGTCAAGTAGATTGTGTTTATTTTGACATACGTGACTTATGTATAGATGTTAAATGTAATCAGTTCTCCAGAATAAAGCAAACACGAAAACATCTTTTAAATATTATCACTTCTTCTATTGGGAGAATATTTCATAAAAGATGTGACATTATGACATTATTTTATACTTTACTACAGTTATGTTATATCACATCAGATATCTATGTGGGCCTGGAAACGACAAGGGTAGAAAATCGATTTAAACATGATTAATATCAAATATTGTTTTAAGCAGTACTTTCGATAGCTACATGGGTACACCATTTAAAGCTATGATAGGATGCATATTCTTGATGCTAGTTAGTGAAAACATTGGAATGGTTACAATAATATACTTCCATGAAAGTTATTTCATTGCCTCACTGATGACAGAATGGACTGTTTATACATTGTAGCCATCTTGAATGCTGTACCATTTGAACTTCATTCTCCAGACCATAAATACATTATGTTTCAGTCCAAGTGAAGTGTAATGCTAAAGTATTCAAGACAGGAAACTGGAATGGTAAAGGGGTCTGAATATCAGTGTAATTTTCTACTGATTATTGGTGTCTTGTCTCACAATAATCAGGAGAAGTAGAGATTTATTAAGGCTGTTATGATTGGGGCTCAACATTGGGGATACAATGACTGTGTGAAATGGGTTTATTCTCAACGAGGTACCGTACTTGACTGATTACGGAGGCAGTGTTGCTGGATCATCATCCAGTCGGGAGGATCAGGGGATCACACAATGGATCATTAGGTTAGAAGACTTCCTGGATGTGTAAAAACTTTTAACCCCAGATTTGTTCATTTCAAATAGGTACCTCTTATAAATTATACATACAGGAAAACAAACATTGTGTAAGTAGTCAATTTTTAATGAAAACTAAATTGGTCACAGAAATTATAATAAAACTGTATAAGCTATTGTTACCTATATAATAGTGATATTTATTACTTAATGAATAGATATATGTACATAATGCTTGTATAGAATAACGAACAATAAAACAGTATAACTTATGAAAGGCCACAATCTCTCAAATGTTTCACAATACAAAAGTACATGCATGTAATTTCGACATTAAATATTTTAATCAAAACAAAATCAAGCAAGGTTGTAAGCCAAAGGATTTGTCCCCTGATGATTTCTGATTTCATGGGAGATTATAATGACTTTGTTGGTATGAAATATAAGTCAGCATATCACACATTAACATACTGTCACATCTTAATGGCCTATCTATTGCTTAGATCACCATTCTTGTCTAGTGGTGAGGGAAATATTGTTCAATCAAGAAAAGGTTCTGCCAAAATTCTTTAAGTCTTCCTATTTACAGTGAGTAGACCTCTCCAATAAAATATCTTACTGCATTCCCTAAATCTTACTCATTGCAGAATGGATTAATCCAGGACAGTTTACTGTTTTAAGAGGTCAGAGGTCACTATATAACTTTTTACAATTCTCAGATTTTGTTGTAGCTTCTCATTCATGAAAAATTGAAAATTAATGTTTGTAGAGTTTTGATGGTAAAGAAGTTTCAGTCATTTGAGGTCAAGAATGTTTTGTTATAAGACTGTTTGACTTGTAGGCATTTAAATGTGAGTTACAGCAACAGGGACATCACTTCTAAAATCAAGTCTAGACACATTAAGGTTATATATTGTCGTGTATTTATTGTCTGTACTTTATTTAACACAATGACCTGCCTAGACACATTACAGCTATATTGTGGTAAATTATCCTGTATTCATTGTCTGTATAACACTATGACCTGCCATCTTCAGTAAATTTTTTGTACAGGTCTAGTTCATCTGACCTCATACACGACTTACACCTGGATAAACACTTCCATAGATGGTCCTGCAAAAAAACAGAACACCAATGATATCATAATACAAGAGTGTATTAATATCAATTTTAGACAAATTCATTAAAACGCTGAACATGATCTTGAAAAACAATCATCTAAGGTATTTGCCTGCAGCCCAAGTGAGCTAGCAATGAACCAATAATAAAATATGTTCCATTTTAACCCGTAATGAATATTGTGTTTGTGCCAACGTTCGTTTTATGAAGACTTTCTGAAAACTAATGATATTCAGACAGTTTCAGACATGTCGCAAATATTCTGCTGTCAAGCCTCGCACCTGGCATATCTCACAAATTAAGTTTCCATCGCTACCAAAAAGGAAGATTTTAATCTACTTGAAAAGATCCAGATTTTACTGGATTTAAACAAGGAGAAGTACTTACCATTGTGATAGGTTTTACATAAAGGGTATCAGGACCAATATCCATCCAACTCTTTGCCTGTGCCCCGGGATCAGATGACAAACAGGCAGTTTCCATGTCAACAATTTCGTCTGGTTTGTCCTCAGATTGATGTCTCTCCTTAAAACACCACCAATAGATTAAATTCTCACCCAATAAGTCTCTCCTTAAAACACCATCAATAGATTAAATTCTCACCCAATAAGTCTCTAATTAAAACACCATCAATAGATTAAATTCTCACCCAATAAGTCTCTCCTTAAAACACCACCAATAGATTAAATTCTCACCCAATAAGTCTCTCCTTAAAACACCATCAATAGATTAAATTCTCACCCAATAAGTCTCTAATTAAAACACCACCAATAGATTAAATTCTCACCCAATAAGTCTCTCCTTAAAACACCATCAATAGATTAAATTCTCACCCAATAAGTCTCTCCTTAAAACACCATCAATAGATTAAATTCTCACCCAATAAGTCTCTCCTTAAAACACCATCAATAGATTAAATTCTCACCCAATAAGTCTCTCCTTAAAACACCACCAATAGATTAAATTCTCACCCAATAAGTCTCTAATTAAAACACCACCAATAGATTAAATTCTCACCCAATAAGTCTCTCCTTAAAACACCACCAATAGATTAAATTCTCACCCCCAATAAAACACCACCAATAGATTAAATTCTCACCCAATAAGTCTCTCCTTAAAACACCATCAATAGATTAAATTCTCCCCCAATAAGTCTCTCCTTAAAACACCATCAATAGATTAAATTCTCACCCAATAAGTCTCTCCTTAAAACACCATCAATAGATTAAATTCTCACCCAATAAGTCTCTAATTAAAACACCATCAATAGATTAAATTCTCACCCAATAAGTCTCTCCTTAAAACACCACCAATAGATTAAATTCTCCCCCAATAAGTCTCTAATTAAAACACCACCAATAGATTAAATTCTCACCCAATAAGTCTCTCCTTAAAACACCACCAATAGATTAAATTCTCACCCAATAAGTCTCTCCTTAAAACACCACCAATAGATTAAATTCTCCCCCAATAAGTCTCTCCTTAAAACACCACCAATAGATTAAATTCTCACCCAATAAGTCTCTCCTTAAAACACCACCAATAGATTAAATTCTCACCCAATAAGTCTCTCCTTAAAACACCATCAAGGCATTAAATTCTCACCCAATAAGTCTCTCCTTAAAACACCATCAATAGATTAAATTCTCCCCCAATAAGTCTCTCCTTAAAACACCACCAATAGATTAAATTCTCACCCAATAAGTCTCTCCTTAAAACACCACCAATAGATTAAATTCTCCCCCAATAAGTCTCTCCTTAAAACACCATCAAGGCATTAAATTCTCACCCAATAAGTCTCTAATTAAAACACCACCAATAGATTAAATTCTCACCCAATAAGTCTCTCCTTAAAACACCACCAATAGATTAAATTCTCACCCAATAAGTCTCTAATTAAAACACCACCAATAGATTAAATTCTCACCCAATAAGTCTCTCCTTAAAACACCACCAATAGATTAAATTCTCACCCAATAAGTCTCTAATTAAAACACCACCAATAGATTAAATTCTCACGCAATAAGTCTCTCCTTAAAACACCACCAATAGATTAAATTCTCACCCAATAAGTCTCTCCTTAAAACACCATCAAGGCATTAAATTCTCAACCAATAAGGGGGAGTTATATATGTTATATATAAAACTTACTTATACTAAAACAATAAAAATCTTTATTGTTATAAGCAGTTTTCAAGATAAAATTGGGATTTAAATAAAACCTCGTATTGGTGCCCATTGTAACATGATCTATACCAGTTCTATGTCAGTGACTTGGTGCCCATTGTAACATGATCTGAACCAGTTCTATGTCAGTGACTTGGTGTCCATTGTAACATGATCTGTACCAGTTCTATGTCAGTGACTTGGTGCCCATTGTAATACGATTTTTACCAGTTCTATGTAAGTGACTTGGTGCCCATTGTAACATGATCTGTACCAGTTCTATGTCAGTGACTTGGTGCCCATTGTAATACGATTTTTACCAATTCTATGTAAGTGACTTGGTGCCCATTGTAACATGATCTGTACCAGTTCTATGTAAGTGACTTGGTGCCCATTGTAACATGATCTGTACCAGTTCTATGTCTGTGTTTTGGTGTCCTTTGTAACATGATCTGTACCAGTTCTATGTCATTGACTTGGTGTCCATTGTAACATGATCTGTACCAGTTCTATGTCAGTGACTTGGTGCCCATTGTAATACGATTTTTACCAGTTCTATGTAAGTGACTTGGTGCCCATTGTAATATGATCTGTACCAGTTCTATGTCAGTGACTTGGTGCCCATTGTAACATGATCTGTACTAGTTCTATGTAAGTGACTTGGTGCCCATTGTAACATGATTTGTACCAGTTCTATGTCAGTGACTTGGTGTCCATTGTAACATGATCTGTACCAGTTCTATGTCAGTGACTTGGTGTCCATTGTAACATGATCTGTACCAGTTCTATGTCAGTGACTTGGTGTCCATTGTAACATGATCTGTACCAGTTCTATGTCAGTGACTTGGTGTCCATTGTAACATGATCTGTACCAGTTCTATGTAAGTGTCTTGGTGTCTGTTGTAACATGATCTGTACCAGTTCTATGTCGGTGACTTGGTGTCCATTGTAACATTATCTGTACCAGTTCTATGTCGGTGATTTGGTGTCCATTGTAACATGATCTGTACCAGTTCTATGTCGGTGACTTTTTGCCCATTGTAACATGATCTGTACCAGTTCTATGTAAGTGACTTGGTGCCCATTGAAACATGATCTGTACCAGTTCTATGTAAGTGTCTTGGTGCCCATTTTAATATGATCTATTCCAGTTCTATGTTAGTGACTTGGTGCCCATTGTAACATGATCTGTACCAGTTCTATGTAAGTGTCTTGGTGCCCATTTTAATATGATCTATTCCAGTTCTATGTTAGTGACTTGGTGCCCATTGTAACATGATCTGTACCAGTTCTATGTAAGTGTCTTGGTGCCCATTTTAATATGATCTATTCCAGTTCTATGTTAGTGACTTGGTGCCCATTGTAACATGATCTTCATCAGTTCTATTTAAGTGGGGCTTTTCTCCCTTCTTTCCTCCTATATAACCTTGCTTATTTGCGGTATTGAAGAATTAAACAAACATACAGTCTCTGAGAATGATCTGATACCCTCGGAGAAAAAATAGATAGAAAAACATGACTTGTCAAAATCCAAAATGGCAATCTGTCGGCCATTTCCATTTTGCATAACAAAAGAAAATAGGAAAGAAATGTGCGAATGAATGATAACCCATCATAAGATATAGAGATAACAAACAACCTGTCACAAGATATAGAGATAACAAACAACCTGTCACAAGATATAGAGATAACAAACAACCTGTCACAAGATATAGAGATAACAAACAACCCATCACAAGATATAGAGATAACAAACAACCCATCACAAGATATAGAGATAACAATCAACTCATCACAAGATATAGAGATAACAAACAACCCATCACAAGATATAGAGATAACAAACTAAACTGTCCATATCAAAGATGGCCACCTTTCACCTATATTCTTTTTCAGATCAATCTTAAAATTGAAGGGGCAACGCTTGGGATCATGGAAAACCTTCATATAAATTAGAGAGTAATCCATCCAGTACTTAGGAAATATTGATAACAAACTTTCATTGTTAAAATCCAAGATGGCAACCTGTCAGCCATCTTCATGGTCAAAGTGAAAAAGGACTGCCTGTCTCCCATTTTGTTTTTCTTATCAGTACCGAAATAAACAAAAGGCCCATGGGCCTTAATGGTCACCTGAGGTCTTCAGGTCTTTGGACAGTTTTAGTACCTGTCCATCAGTCCTAGCATTGGAGCAGACAGAACAGAACTGATGTAAGCATACTTATAAAGTCTTTATCTTTTCTAAGTTTGAAGGCGTAGCTTTCAGTTAAACTTATAACATTGTCTGTTATCGTAGTTTAGCATATTTGACACTGTGAATGAAGGTCAAGGTCATTCATTTGAACAAACTTGACAGCCCTTCATCCCAGCATGCTGTTAACCAATATCATGACCCTGGGTCATTGGGTTATTGAAGGGAGGTAATTAAAAGATTTTAACATATTTGATCCCTGTGATCTTGAAAGAAGTTCAAGTTTATTCACTTGAACAAACTTGAGACTTCATCTCAGGTGACCTAAAAAGAGAACAGTTTGGGACCAAGGTAAACATTCACTACATAAAGTTAAAGGTGCTTTATAATGGCTATCTGGTCACTGCTGGTCAGTGATAAAACTCACCAGCCTAAAATGTGTAGCACGTTGTATTTCCCTAACTGGTTCCATGGCTGCATCCCTCACCAGAACGAGTATATCCGATACAGTGTACCTGTTCAAAGTTACAGTAATTTAATCATAATAATAGAAAGCGTTATCCTAAATCCTCAATGGTGTGAGAAAAAAATTCCTATTTTGATGAATGCTTTAAAAATCATTCAGATTGCAAAAAACATGCACTGTAAATAACATACATTTCATGAATACTTTATAGTGCGAACTTCAGACATATTTGCTGATACATGATTTCTCAAACCATGATCTTGACTTCTGCTACCTTGGTGATATGTTGTCATCTGGAGGTGGATGTGAACTTGCTGTGACAACAAGATGCAAGTCAGCATGGAAATAATTCAGAGAGCTGCTTCCAATCTTAACAAGCCACCAACTGCCTATCACAACAAGAGGTCGCCTCTACTCAACCTACATTAGACCTGTGTTGCTGTATGGCTCTGAAACATGGGCAGTAACAGCTGCTACTCTTAGGAGGTTTCGGCGCTTTGATAGAGCCATGATAAGAGGGATCTGCCTTGTCAAACTGGAAGACGATGTTCCCATAGAGTCTCTCCAAGCTCAGCTAGACATCAAAGATATATTAGAAATTCTCCAGGCTAGCAGGTTGAGATGGTTTGGCCATGGCAGTGAAGAATGGATGTCAAGGATCCATACCCTAAATGTCACTTGTCATCGGGCCTCGGGTAGACCAAAACTGACCTGGGATGACCTAGTGAAACAGGACTGTACAGCCTCACCCTTGGATAAGGATTAATCAAAGGCCTGGATAATCTAAACTGGTTAATGATGATGATAATGATGATCTAGAAATAACTTTAAATTTGTGAATGATGGTCTATTAGATATATAGACTCTAATACTGGTCACCGAATCAGCATAGATGTCGTCAAGAATTATTTCTGTACAAATAATTGACAGGAATTTGAATTGCTGATAGACTCGTAACCAATGCAGAAATAAATCCCATGTGAAATACGAGTGATTTACAGCATCCAAATTCACACCATTCTTTGTGACTATATTTACAGCATCCAAATTGACACCATACTTTGTGACTATATTTACAGCATCCAAATTGACACCATACTTTGTGACTATATTTACAGCATCCAAATTGACACCATACTTTGTGACTATATTTACAGCATCCAAATTGACATCATTCTTTGTGACTATATTTACAGCATCCAAATTGACATCATTCTTTGTGACTATATTTACAGCATCCAAATTGACATCATTCTTTGTGACTATATTTACAGCATCCAAATTGACATCATTCTTTGTGACTATATTTACAGCATCCAAATTGACATCATTCTTTGTGACTATATTTACAGCATCCAAATTGACACCATACTTTGTGACTATATTTACAGCATCCAAATTGACACCATACTTTGTGACTATATTTACAGCATCCAAATTGACACCATACTTTGTGACTATATTTACAGCATCCAAATTGACACCATACTTTGTGACTATATTTACAGCATCCAAATTGACACCATACTTTGTGACTATATTTACAGCATCCAAATTGACACCATACTTTGTGACTATATTTACAGCATCCAAATTGACACCATACTTTGTGACTATATTTACAGCATCCAAATTGACACCATACTTTGTGACTATATTTACAGCATCCAAATTGACACCATACTTTGTGACTATATTTACAGCATCCAAATTGACACCATACTTTGTGACTATATTTACAGCATCCAAATTGACACCATTCTTTGTGACTATATTTACAGCATCCAAATTGACATCATTCTTTGTGACTATATTTACAGCATCCAAATTGACACCATACTTTGTGACTATATTTACAGCATCCAAATTGACATCATTCTTTGTGACTATATTTACAGCATCCAAATTGACACCATACTTTGTGACTATATTTACAGCATCCAAATTGACATCATTCTTTGTGACTATATTTACAGCATCCAAATTGACATCATTCTTTGTGACTATATTTACAGCATCCAAATTGACATCATTCTTTGTGACTATATTTACAGCATCCAAATTGACATCATTCTTTGTGACTATATTTACAGCATCCAAATTGACACCATACTTTGTGACTATATTTACAGCATCCAAATTGACAATTCTTTGTGAGCATCCAAATTGACATCATTCTTTGTGACTATATTTACAGCATCCAAATTGACATCATTCTTTGTAAAAAACTATATTAAAAACATCCAAATTGAAACCATACTTTGTGACTATATTTACAGCATCCAAATTGACACCATACTTTGTGAACACATATTTAAGCATCCAAATGACACCATACTTTGTGACTATATTTACAGCATCCAAATTGACACCATACTTTGTGACTATATTTACAGCATCCAAATTGACACCATACTTTGTGACTATATTTACAGCATCCAAATTGACACCATACTTTGTGACTATATTTACAGCATCCAAATTGACATCATACTTTGTGACTATAGAATATAATTCTACTAACCACTGATGATTTAAATTAATGTAGAAAAAAATCAAAATGTTTAAAGTCTATGATTAACCTGTCTATAACTGAACCTTCTTTTATTCATCGCTGAATAATAAACATGTACATACCCTTCTGTCCTTTTTGCTAATTCTTCAAATTCCTCTTCACTGACAGCAGGTTGAATATTCAAATGCATTTTGAAAAGTAAATTGCGACTTGTCTTGTCTGGTATAGGAACATACACTAAGGTCGGAAAACTGGGATAAAATGGAAAAATGGGAAGTGAGTCATCAAAAAAATTACAAAGTATTTAGCCTTTCTAATGAATATGGAGCGTATTAACAGTTGTATTAACCTGTTCACCCTGCAAGCCCTGGAGTTGGACAAGTGTTCATAAAAAAGTTATATTAAAAACTGGAAATTAACCTAGTTTTTTCAGAAATTTCATTTTTCGAATCATCTTTGAGTAAGCTGATATTTTGACTCTGAAACCAGACCAATGCTAGTTTGTGACTGACACAAGTCTCAGTCTGAATATCTCCCTGAACACACAGTCTGTCAATTTTGGTAAGTCTTTAATAGTATAATACTTGATCGGCTCAGGGCCAGAGTATTCATACATGACAATGTTTAGAAAGATGATGGCATTGTTTACAGTGTACAACAGCCACCAGAGGTCACTGATAAATCATTGGAATATTTCCGAGAATCAGAGAGTTAGGATTGGTAGTAGCAGCTAGTTCAAAAGGCTGTGGCAATAGGCCGCAACGGTAACTGTATTAAGTTTTTACTAAAAATTGTACACAAAATAAAGAAAATGAAAATCGTGTGTTTTGCAGTAGTCTGGCAATGCTTGGACAAAATTTGATCGAGTACCACAAAAGACACATCATTGTAAATACATGTTTAGATTGAACATTTCAAACATGTCAAAGAATACGTTGTATTTCCAGTTTCCTGAAATTACTATAATTATGGTATCTTCTTAATTAAACCAAAACAAACTTCATTGTCATTGCTAACATTTCCTTGTATTTGGTTTAAATACACCTGGAAAACCTTGAACAGACTTGAGAAAGTTTGCGTGCTTTAATGTTTTCATTTGGTATTAATATTCATTTTTTAAAAGTCATGAGTATACCAGCACAAATTATCAATAAGAAATAAGGGTGTATCTAATAGTGTCTACCAGCACAAATTGGGGTCCTTTAGATCTCTTTATCAACACTGAGTCAATACAGGGTGTCCTAATAGTCAGATCTGTTTACCATCAACACTGTTGGTCAAGCACAGGTGTCCTTAGTCAGATCTGTTTACCATCAACACTGTTAGTCAAGTATTGGGGTCCTTAGTCAGATCTGTTTACCATCAACACTGTTGGTCAAGTACTGGGGTCCTAAGTCAGATCTGTTTAAGATCAACACTGTTGGTCGAGTACTGGGGTCCTTAGTCAGATCTGTTTACCATCAACACTGTTGGTCAAGTACAGGTGTCCTTAGTCAGATCTGTTTACCATCAACACTGTTAGTCAAGTACTGGGGTCCTTAGTCAGATCTGTTTACCATCAACACTGTTGGTCAAGCACAGGTGTCCTTAGTCAGATCTGTTTACCATCAACACTGTTGGTCAAGCACAGGTGTCCTTAGTCAGATCTGTTTACCATCAACACTGTTAGTCAAGTACTGGGGTCCTTAGTCAGATCTGTTTACCATCAACACTGTTAGTCAAGTACTGGGGTCCTTAGTCAGATCTGTTTACCATCAACACTGTTAGTCGAGTACTGGGGTCCTTTGTCAGATCTGTTTACCATCAACACTGTTGGTCAAGTACTGGTGTCCTTAGTCAGATCTGTTTACCATCAACACTGTTGGTCGAGTACTGGGGTCCTTTGTCAGATCTGTTTACCATCAACACTGTTGGTCAAGTACTGGGGTCCTAAGTCAGATCTGTTTACCATCAATACTGTTGGTCGAGTACTGGGGTCCTTTGTCAGATCTGTTTACCATCAACACTGTTGGTCAAGTACAGGTGTCCTTAGTCAGATCTGTTTACCATCAACACTGTTAGTCAAGTACTGGGGTCCTAAGTCAGATCTGTTTACCATCAACACTGTTAGTCGAGTACTGGGGTCCTTAGTCAGATCTGTTTACCATCAACACTGTTAGTCGAGTACTGGGGTCCTTAGTCAGATCTGTTTACCATCAACACTGTTGGTCGAGTACTGGGGTCCTTAGTCAGATCTGTTTACCATCAACACTGTTGGTCGAGTACTGGGGTCCTTTGTCAGATCTGTTTACCATCAACACTGTTGGTCAAGTACTGGGGTCCTAAGTCAGATCTGTTTACCATCAACACTGTTGGTCGAGTACTGGGGTCCTTTGTCAGATCTGTTTAACATCAACACTGTTGGTCAAGTACAGGTGTCCTTAGTCAGATCTGTTTACCATCAACACTGTTAGTCAAGTACAGGTGTCCTTAGTCAGATCTGTTTACCATCAACACTGTTAGTCAAGTACCGGTGTCCTAAGTCAGATCTGTTTACCATCAACACTGTTAGTCAAGTACTGGGGTCCTTTGTCAGATCTGTTTACCATCAACACTGTTGGTCGAGTACTGGGGTCCTTAGTCAGATCTGTTTACCATCAACACTGTTGGTCGAGTACTGGGGTCCTTAGTCAGATCTGTTTACCATCAACACTGTTGGTCGAGTACTGGGGTCCTTTGTCAGATCTGTTTACCATCAACACTGTTGGTCAAGTACTGGGGTCCTAAGTCAGATCTGTTTACCATCAACACTGTTGGTCGAGTACTGGGGTCCTTTGTCAGATCTGTTTAACATCAACACTGTTGGTCAAGTACAGGTGTCCTTAGTCAGATCTGTTTACCATCAACACTTACATTATTCAGAAACTGACTGGACAAAGAGACAAAGATAAAAAAAACTGTTCTATTTAACAGGGAATACAGTCAGACACTAAAAACACCTAGACAGGAAATACCTGCTTCTAAGTCCCATTTGTTTGTAGAGTAACCATGGAAACCTTGTCATGGCTATGACCGGGAGAGAAGCAGTTAGTTTTGTTGACATGAGTTGGAAAAGTACTTCTCTAGCCTCAGTGTTCTCTTCTTCTATAAACACCTCGATGTCCTCTATCAGTATAATACAAGGATGGTTAGCAGCAGCACAAGCAAATACTGCTCTCACAAATCTGTAAAAACATTGACAATGTTCTCCTAGAATCACTTGTTGATGATTATTACAGAATGAAAGTGTTACAACATGAAAAGTTTTAAGATATATTGAAATTTACAACAGTAATTAAAAAAAATCCATCCGAGATGGTGATCTTGGGTGTTCTTATGTAAAATTTACCATTTCTCTTTTCTAGTCTTAGCTATCACTTGTCAGTTGTCAATATTAAAAATGAACTTTGTGGTAATGTATTTACCATCCATATATGTGATCTCATACAATGTTGTATTAAAATTAATTTGGGTAAGATGGAAATATGAGCAATAGGTAACCATCAGACACAACTAGGTAACCATCAGGTACAACTAGGTAACCGTCAGACACAACTAGGTAACCATCAGATACAACTAAGTAACCATCAGACACAACTAGGTAACCATCAGACACAACTAGGTAACCATCAGATATATCTAGGTAACCATCAGGTACAACTAGATAACCATCAGACACAGCTAAGTAACCATCAGACACAACAAGGTAATCATCAGGTACAAGTAGGTAACCATCAGGTACAACGAGGTAAACCATCAGACAAAACTAGGTAACCATCAGACAAAACTAGGTAACCATCAAACACAACAAGGTAACCATCAGACACAACTAGGTAACCATCAGGTACAAGTAGGTAACCATCAGGTACAACTAGGTAACCATCAGGTACAACTAGGTAACCATCAGGTACAAGTAGGTAACCATCAGGTACAACTAGGTAACCATCAGGTACAACTAGGTAACCATCAAGTACAACTAGGTAACCATCAGACACAACTAGGTAACCATCAGGTACAACGAGGTAACTATCAGACACAACTAGGTAATCATCAAGTACAAGTAGGTAACCATCAGGTACAACTAGGTAACCATCAGGTACAACTAGGTAACTATCAGACACAACTAGGTAACCATCAGACAAAACTAGGTAACCATCAAACACAACAAGGTAACCATCAGACACAACTAGGTAACCATCAGGTACAAGTAGGTAACCATCAGGTACAACTAGGTAACCATCAGACACAACAAGGTAATCATCAGGTACAAGTAGGTAACCATCAGGTACAACGAGGTAAACCATCAGACAAAACTAGGTAACCATCAGACAAAACTAGGTAACCATCAAACACAACAAGGTAACCATCAGACACAACTAGGTAACCATCAGGTACAAGTAGGTAACCATCAGGTACAACTAGGTAACCATCAGGTACAACTAGGTACAACTAGGTAACCATCAGGTACAAGTAGGTAACCATCAGGTACAACTAGGTAACCATCAGGTACAACTAGGTAACCATCAAGTACAACTAGCTAACCATCAGACACAACTAGGTAACCATCAGGTACAATGAGGTAACCATCAGACACAACTAGGTAATCATCAAGTACAAGTAGGTAACCATCAGGTACAACTAGGTAACCATCAGGTACAACTAGGTAACTATCAGACACAACTAGGTAACCATCAGACACAACAAGGTAACCATCAGGTACAACTAGGTAACCATCAGGTACAACAAGGCAACCATCAGGTACAACTAGGTAACCATCAGGTACAACAAGGTAACCATCAGACACAACAAGGTAACCATCAGGTACAAGTAGGTAACCATCAGGTACAACTAGGTAACCATCAGGTACAACTAGGTAATCATCAGACACAACTAGGTAACCATCAGGTACAACTAGGTAATCATCAGACACAACTAGGTAACCATCAGGTACAACTAGGTAATCATCAGACACAACTAGGTAACCATCAGACACAACAAGGTAACCATCAGACACAACAAGATAACCATCAGACACAACAAAGTAACCATCAGACACAACAAGGTAACCATCAGGTACAAGTAGGTAACCATCAGACACAACAAGGTAACCATCAGACACAACAAGATAACCATCAGACACAACAAAGTAACCATCAGACACAACAAGGTAACCATCAGGTACAAGTAGGTAACCATCAGGTACAACTAGGTAATCATCAGACACAACTAGGTAACCATCAGACACAACAAGGTAACCATCAGACACAACAAGGTAACCATCAGACACAACAAGGTAACCATCAGGTACAAGTAGGTAACCATCAGGTACAACTAGGTAATCATCAGACACAACTAGGTAACCATCAGACACAACAAGGTAACCATCAGACACAACAAGATAACCATCAGACACAACAAGGTAACCATCAGACACAACTTGGTAACCATCCGGTACAACTAGGTAATCATCAGACACAACTAGGTAACCATCAGGTACAACTAGGTAATCATCAGACACAACTAGGTAACCATCAGACACAACAAGGTAACCATCAGGTACAAGTAGGTAACCATCAGACACAACTAGGTAACAGTAGGTAATAATCAGACACAACTAGGTAACCATCAGACACAACTAGGTAACCATCAGGTACAACAAGGTAACCATCAGGTACAAGTAGGTAACCATCAGACACAAACTGGTAACCATCAGAACCAACTAGGTAACCATCAGACACAACTAGGTAACCATCAGACACAACTAGGTAACAGTAGGTAATCATCAGACACAACTAGGTAACCATCAGACACAACTAGGTTACCATCAGACACAACAAGGTAACCATCATAACCAACTAAGTAATCATCAGACACAACTAGGTAACCATCAGACACAACAAGGTAACCATCAGACACAACTAGGTAACCATCAGATATATCTAGGTAACCATCAGGTACAACTAGATAACCATCAGACACAGCTAAGTAACCATCAGACACAACAAGGTAATCATCAGGTACAAGTAGGTAACCATCAGGTACAACGAGGTAAACCATCAGACAAAACTTGGTAACCATCAGACACAACTAAGTAATCATCAGACACAACAAGGTAACCATCAGACACAACTAGGTAACCATCAGGCACAACAAGGTAATCATCAGACACAACAAGGTAACCATCAGACACAACTAAGTAATCATCAGACACAACAAGGTAACCATCAGACACAACTAGGTAACCATCAGAACCAACTAGGTAACCATCAGACACAACTAGGTAACCATCAGGTACAACTAGGTAACCATCAGACACAACAAGGTAACCATCAGACACAACTTGGTAACCATCAGAACCAACTAGGTAACCATCAGACACAACTAGGTAACAGTAGGTAATCATCAGACACAACTAGGTAACCATCAGGTACAACTAGGCAACCATCAGACACAACAAGGTAACCATCAGACACAACTTGGTAACCATCAGAACCAACTAGGTAACCATCAGACACAACTAGGTAACCATCAGACACAACTAGGTAACAGTAGGTAATCATCAGACACAACTAGGTAACCATCAGACACAACTAGGTAATCATCAGACACAACTAGGTAACCATCAGACACAACAAGGTAACCATCAGACACAACAAAGTAACCATCAGACACAACTAAGTAATCATCAGACACAACTAGGTAACCATCAAGTACAAGTAGGTAACCATCAGACACAACAAGGTAACCATCAGGTACAACAAGGTAACCATCAGGTACAACTAGGTAACCATCAGACACAACTAGGTAACCATCAGGTACAACTAGGTAACCATCAAACACAACTAGGTAACCATCAAACACAACTAAGTAATCATCAGACACAACAAGGTAACCATCAGGTACAACTAGGTAACCATCAGACACAACTAGGTAACCATCAGACACAACAAGGTAACCATCAGGTACAACAAGGTAACCATCAGGTACAACTAGGTAACCATCAGACACAACTTGGTTATTATCAAGTAGAAATACTTGTATCCTTCCAGAAAAAATAATCTGCCACTTAATTTAAATGATTTAAAACAATCAGTGTACTTTTTTCTAAAAAAAACTTTCATCAGTCTTTTAGCATTTTTTAATTAACAGTCAAAGTCATGAGGACAGGTGTTCAAAGGAACACCAAGATTGGGAAAATAAAGTACAGAACGAAAGAGGAGAAGGAAAAGAATGGGAAGAAGTGTTGCCATGAAGTAAATTTTGGAGAAGACAGATAAATATCTAGGATTTTTCAGGGAGCCCACTCTTAGTCTTCTGTGACACATATGCAATGGGACTCTCCAAACAATGTCCTTTAAACAGAAGACATCAGGTAAACAATCCTCCAGCTGCAAGTTGTGCCCAACAATTACTCATTTTAAATAACATACAGTGAACTACAGCAGGCATATTCTATCCTTGTCACCTGAATTGATCATATTAACTTCTGATATTTCTCTTAAAGTTGCTTTGAGATGTCTTAAAATAAATAGCCAAGGTCTGCTGATAAGTAGAAACATGTGCACCTAAAAAATCAATGATAAAACAAAACTTAATACAATTGATAAAGTATAACTTACTGTGCTCGATCAGTAACCATCCTCGACATCATGGAATAGGAATTCACAGTCATGAGGCAGGCACAAGATTCCTTTGCAAGGGCTTTCATCAGCATAGACTTCCCACATCCAGGGGGCTACAGGTAAATATACAGTGTCAGCATAGACTTCCCACATCCAGGGGGCTACAGGTAAATATATAGTGTCAGCATAGACTTCCCACATCCAGGGGGCTACAGGTAAATATATAGTGTCAGCATAGACTTCCCACATCCAGGGGGCTACAGGTAAATATATAGTGTCAGCATAGACTTCCCACATCCAGGGGGCTACAGGTAAATATACAGTGTCAGCATAGACTTCCCACATCCAGGGGGCTACAGGTAAATATACAGTGTCAGCATAGACTTCCCACATCCAGGGAGCTACAGGTAAATATATAGTGTCAGCATAGACTTCCCACATCCAGGGGGCTACAGGTAAATATATAGTGTCAGCATAGACTTCCCCCATCCAGGGGGCTACAGGTAAATATATAGTGTCAGCATAGACTTCCCACATCCAGGGGGCTACAGGTAAATATACAGTGTCAGCATAGACTTCCCACATCCAGGGGGCTACAGGTAAATATACAGTGTCAGCATAGACTTCCCACATCCAGGGGGCTACAGCTAAAGATATAGGTTCAGCATAAACTTCCCACATCCAGGGGGTTACAGGTAAATATATAGTGTCAGCATAGACTTCCCACATCCAGGGGGCTACAGGTAAATATATAGTGTCAGCATAGACTTCCCACATCCAGGGGGCTACAGGTAAATATATAGTGTCAGCATAGACTTCCCACATCCAGGGGGCTACAGGTAAATATACAGTGTCAGCATAGACTTCCCACATCCAGGGGGCTACAGGTAAATATACAGTGTCAGCATAGACTTCTCACATCCAGGGAGCTACAGGTAAATATGATAGTGTCAGCATAGACTTCCCACATCCAGGGAGCTACAGGTAAATATGATAGTGTCAGTATAGTCTTCCCACATCCAGGGGGCTACAGATAAATATGATAGTGTCAGCATAGACCTCCCACATCCAGGGGGCTACAGGTAAATATAATAATGTCAGTATAGACTTCCCACATCCAGGGGGCTACAGGTAATATGATAGTGTCAGCATAGACTTCCCACATCCAGGGAGCTACAGGTAAATATGATAGTGTCAGCATAGACTTCCCACATCCAGGAGGCTACAGGTAAATATATAGTGTCAGCATTGACTTCCCACATCCAGGGGGCTACAGGTAAATATATAGTGTCAGCATAGACTTCCCACATCCAGGGAGCTACAGGTAAATATAATAATGTCAGCATAGACTTCTCACATCCAGGGGGCTACAGGTAATATGAAAGTGTCAGCATAGACTTCCCACATCCAGGGGGCTACAGGTAAATTTTACAATGCATGTCTTCAGATCCAGGGGAATACAGGGAAATCATGAATTCAAAATGGTATATGTATTCACGAAAACCTTATTTTATGATAAGAGACCCATGAGACCTGTATCATTAACATGTTTAGCACCTTATAAAGAAACATTACAGGATGCGTTTATTTATCCCAAACGTCATTCTCTTTCACAGCAACATACATGTTGTACGTAAAATCACAAAGGTCAGGGTCTCTATGTTTAAAAGAGGTTGTATGAAGATGTTGATGCTTTTGGAGCTTGTGACCTTGAAAGATGGTCCATGTCATTTATCCCGACAAACTTGTAAGCCCCTGATGGCATTTCATCTGTATTTAACTTGATCTTCTGTCGGTGTATCAGATACTTCTATTGATCACCAAGTCAATACTTCTGAACCCAGTGAATGCCGTTGACTCTGAGACACCTGTACACACATTCAGCATAGGTAGGTATTCCACATTGAACCTTAATAATTTCACACTTCAGTAAACAAACCAAGAAATAAAGGGTTTTGGAATCCTAAGTTTCAAATTTCCCACATATAGACTTATATCTGTCTCTTTGTTTCTTTTCTTTCATACATGTACTTGCACCTTACAGCCTTACCTTAAGTCCATTCAAAACTTACCCCATATAGTAACACGTTTTTTTCATTACTAACTCTTCCTGAAAAAGTTCAAAACAAATTTTTATTTATTGTATGTATACATAGTGATTGATTACTAATGCAGTACTACGACGCTGATTGTCAAGTTGTGAGCCTCATATTTAACAGCAGACATAATCCCCTTCATATCTATACACTTTTGCCTGCGATATTTAAGGGCCTCAATGCCACTTTTAAAGAAGTCCTTTTCTTGACTGTTCAGAAAGTCATCCACTACATGTATGAAGTCATCATCAGACTGAAAGTAGCTACTGGGAATTGTCTTTTTCAATATTGAAAATAGATATAAGTGTGATGGAGCAAGATCAGGCAAATATGACAGATGCTAAATCAATTCAAAACCACCATTGTTAATAGCAGCTATGACAATAACAGACTTATGAACAGGGACATTGTCTTAGTGGAACAACACACCTTTACTGTTTTCTGTGGTGGTAGAGTTTAAAATCGAGGCCATAACCTTTCCTGATGTTGGAATAGTCTTTGCCTTCTTTGGCGGGGTTGAACCTGGGTGCTACCATTGTTTAGACTGTTGTTTGGCCTTTGGGGTCACAAACCTCCGCAGAAAGTTAGCAGGGTCTGCCTCTTAAAGGTTCAGATTAGCACGCGACAAAGTCCACCTGGTGTGTTTCTGACCAACTGTCAGAATCCTTGGTACCCAATGAGCTGAGATCTCTCTCATTCCTTCTGTAAGAATGGAATATACTGTGTGAAATTTTAACTGTACTAGCTATATAGCTCTCTGTAACTCGCCAGTCAGCCATAACAATTTTATTGACTTTGTTGACCATTGCTGGAGTTGCAACAGTGACAGGCATCATCCCAAAGGCTTTACCTGCCACACTTAAATTCCCCCACATTTTCACTGAGGAGGCATCATTCCCTAGTGTTGCTACCATATCAGTATGGATATCCATAGGTGTTAGAGCTTTCTTATGCAAATACTGAGTCACTGTTCTTTCTGCAATTTTGTCCATTTTGCAAAAGTTACTTGCCTTGTGCTACCCCTTTGACATAAACTGACTAAATGACACCAGTCTTCAGATAGGTAGTCATAAATACCTGCTAGTCGCTGAATAGTAGAGCTAAAAAGGATATCCCTGCTTAACGTCTTCAATACAAGGCTTACAACTTATCAACCAGCTCTGGTACATAAGGAAATAATACAATAGGTTAACTATATCACACTGTTCAGTTTAAAATAAAACAATTGACAAATGAATGTGATATGATTTCGAAATACATATAACAATAAGATATCAGTTTTTGTATCTGATTTTCTACAATTTATTCTTCCCACTCACAGGAAAGAACCCTTCACAGTTACAATGTGAAATTCCCATCAAAATTCCTACTTCTGTATTTAACACAATGAGACTGTCATTCTGTCTGTCTATTGACTAAAACAGTACTGCAATATGGTTGTTTTTCTGTTATCTTTTCATCTCAATCATTCAAACAAGGCAGATGATCGCTTAATAATGAGAAACTTCCAATTAAGGCCCAGTATTTACGGTTAAAATCCAGGTTTATTGTCAGCCAAATCATTATGCTGATCAATCTCAAATCTGAGCACCAAATGGAATTTGAAAATCACTTTAAGTAGAAGCTGAAAAATGATCTTACCTTCAAAAAGATGTGGAAATTTAAACGGCATCATAAGTTTTTCTTTCAAGATAAGTTTAGCATTGTGAAGTCCCGTTAGATCATCCCACCTCACTGGTATATCATCAGGGTGTGTAATAGTCACTGACCCTGATAAAAAATGGATACAACAAAAATATTCTCAAATCTGAAAGACATTCTCTAGACTTGACAATGACATCCTATCATGATGTCAAGCTGTAATTTTAAACAGTTAATCACCCTCTTCAGAGATTGTCTTCCCAAACATGGTGGTGGATAAATGTTGTAACTCAAGCCATAAATGAAAATTCTGGCTGCAACTTTTAACTGTGACACAGAAAGTAGATTAAAAACGTCTTAGTCAACTATAGATTAAACTTAATGACTCTTGAAATTATGGTTTCATAAAAGAAGTTGTTCTATTTTGGAACATTTTCTTTGGGTTGGTAATGTCAATATAATAAAAGGTCTAGTAGAAGCTTAAGAAGTCCAAATGTTTGGGAAAAATGGGAGACATCAAGGAATATAGATACCAACGTATCCTTGAGCTTTTTGCTAATGACTATCACATTTTGTTTCTTCAATTTCCCTGCATACATAGCAGTATCCAAGGGATAACAGAACCTGTACTGTGAATGACAACCAATAGAAGATTGGCGAGTCACATTTCGATGACTACACGGTCACCTTCTTTAGACAAATGACCAGTACGGAGCGTACTAGCACTGAGGTAGGTAGTGTTCGAGATCTACACAGTCACCTTCATTAGACAAATGACCAGTGTGGAACGTTCTAGCACTGATATACATAGTGTATGAGATCTACACAGTCACCTTCATTAGACATATAACCAGTGTGGAGCGAACTAGCACTGATGTATGTAGTGTACGAGATCTACACAGTCACCTTCATCAGACAAATGACCAGTGTGGAGCGTACTAGCACTGATGTACATAGTGTACGAGATCTACATGGTCACCTTCATCAGAAAAATGACCAGTGTGGAGCGTACTAGCACTGATGTATGTAGTGTACGAGATCTACATGGTCACCTTCATTAGACAAATGACCAGTGTGGAGCGTACTAGCACTGATGTATGTAGTGTACGAGATCTACACAGTCACCTTCATTAGACAAATGACCAGTATGGAGCGTACTAGCACTGATGTATGTAGTGTACGAGATCTACACAGTCACCTTCATCAGACAAATGACCAGTGTGGAGCGTACTAGCACTGATGTACGTAGTTTACGAGATCTACACAGTCACCTTCATCAGACAAATGACCAGTGTGGAGCGTACTAGCACTGATGTACATAGTGTACGAGATCTACATGGTCACCTTCATCAGAAAAATGACCAGTGTGGAGCGTACTAGCACTGATGTATGTAGTGTACGAGATCTACATGGTCACCTTCATTAGACAAATGACCAGTGTGGAGCGTACTAGCACTGATGTACATAGTGTATGAGATCTACACAGTCACCTTCATCAGAAAAATGACCAGTGTGGAGTGTACTAGCACTGATGTATGTAGTGTACGAGATCTACATGGTCACCTTCATTAGACAAATGACCAGTGTGGAGTGTACTAGTACTGATGTACGTAGTGTATGAGATCTACACAGTCACCTTCATCAGACAAATTATCAGTGTGGAGCGTACTAACACTGACAGGAGTGTACAATATGGTTATGAACCGACCAACTTGTTTGGCTGTACTATAATCCTATGAAGGTACATTAAGTTTGGAAATATTGTGACAATACTGTAAACAGATTATAAAAAAAACAGTTCACAAGATGGTAACAATGTACTGTAGTCGATTTGGCTACATTTTGTTTGATAAAAGTTACCATGTAGTCATCAAAATATCACACAAAAATCATCTACTGGTTGTGAGATAAAAACTTTTTATTTTAGGAGATCATCAATTAAAAAGCTTGTGATTTTAACAAACACAAGTTGTATCTTTTCTGTAACTCACTGGTTGACAATGAAATCAACAGTAATTTGAGAGTCTACATAAACCCTGAATCAACAACCATACATGATAAATATTTAGATCTATTTCAGAGTCACGTCTCTAGTGTTTGTCCTTTACCTCCTTGGTAAAAGTCTTCGAATGGTTTGGGAGGATGAGGCAGAGATGGATCCTCCAGGTCCTCTGTACTGGGAAGGTCATTCAGTGCCTCAACCACTTCCTCTGTTCCTCCTGGCACCTCACTGTCAAAGACACACAACAAGTCTTTCACTGGAGAGTGGTGTTTGGTCAAACACTTGTGTAACTAGTTGTTATAAGGACTCTGTATAACAGATATGAGCATGTGCCTGACGTAGGCAAATCGTTTCGGTATTAGGTTGCATAAGTGTAATATATAGCAGCTGTGGTGGCCATCTTGAGAAAAGAGAGGTTAAACATTTAGTTGGGTCTGTCTCTGGACCAAATGAAACTCATAACAAGATGTAGGGTGAGTCATGTCTCAAGAAGACTTTTTTCAAATCTTTTCTTTAAGTAACTAAATATTGCAGTCATTTTGAATGTGGTTCAATCACATTGTTACCTGGTATTCACTAAGGACCATTTGTCCTGCTTTAGCAGCCATCTTTAACAGCAGAAAACAATGGACATGGTGTAGCAAGGTATTGTGAAGCATGATGAAATGAACCCCTCCATAGTAAAGTGAAGCTACTTTATATTTTATTTTCAATTGATGTTTGTTGACTTAATTTATCATCACTTTGATTAATACAGTTCCTCCAAACATAATAAAACAGAAAAGTAACATGGGTGGGGAAATTTAGGATGGGGCTTGGCCATGGTACTGCCCTTCCATAATGATTTATGCTTTGAAGAGATTCAGGTGTTTTTTTTAATTAGTAAAATCATATACGTAATATCAACGTTTGACGTATGTCACCTTACTCATACAATAGTAACTGTTCGACGTATGTCACCTTATTCATACAATAGTAACTGTTCGACGTATGTCACCTTATTCATACAATAGTAACTGTTCGACGTATGTCTCCTTATTCATACTTTAGTAACTGTTTGATGTATGTCACCTTATTCATACATTAGTAACTGTTTGACGTATATTACCTTATTCATACAATAGTAACTATTTGACGTATGTTACCTTATTCATACATTAGTAACTGTTTGACGTATGTCACCTTATTCATACATTAGTAACTGTTTGACGTATGTCTCCTTATTCATACAAGAGTAACTGCTCGAAGTATGTCACCTTATTCATACATTAGTAACTGTTTGACGTATGTTACCTTATTCATACAATAGTAACTATTTGATGCATGTTACCTTATTCATACATTAGTAACTGTTTGACGTATGTCTCCTTATTCATACAATAGTAACTGTTCGAAGTATGTCACCTTATTCATACATTAGTAACTGTTTGACGTATGTTACCTTATTCATACAATAGTAACTATTTGATGCATGTTACCTTATTCATACATTAGTAACTGTTTGACGTATGTCTCCTTATTCATACAATAGTAACTGTTCGAAGTATGTCACCTTATTCATACATTAGTAACTGTTTGACGTATGTCTCCTTATTCATACTTTAGTAACTGTTTGATGTATGTTACCTTATTCATACAATAATAACTGTTTGATGTTTGTCACCTTATTCATACATTAGCAACTGTATGATGTATGTTACCTTATTCATACATTAGTAACTGTTTGATGAGTCTGCAATAAGGATTACTGACCAATATACCGTCAGAAAATTCGTCATCATACATTCACTTATCAGCAAAAATACGTAATTATAATCTTTATCTAGGTTCAAAATGCTTGGATCACTTTTGGTTAACGCGCACATTTCTAAGCTTAGGCAAGGGTGCAGTGTAATTTACGAAATTGTAAGTCGCTTGACCCGGAAGCGAACACACATATCGCACTACACATAATGAGTCTTACCAATTTGATTCTGCCATTTTGTGAAGTATCTATAGAAGATAATCTCTACTGCTAAGTTGTTCCGTGTGCTAATTTGTGTTCACTAGGTACTAGTTCGCCATCATGAAATATATATTCGTTTCTGTTAGATTTAGTCCACAACGTACATAATGCAATCCACCAAAGTGTGTCCCGAAGGTTTACTTCCGGCGAAATCCGAACGTCTTAAAACGCTACTTTCATTTCACCGTCAAAAATATCGTCAGTTGATACTATTCAATAGTATTATTGATAATATGACCGATTTCGGAAAGTCAACTTCAAATGATGATGTTTTAAATAAAGTCTGTTACAATATATGTTGGTGACGTGATATTAATTTAATTCCTAATGAAGTAAACATTCACAGGGATCATTTACACTATCGCTGAAATGAATTACTAATTCACCTTCATCTTAACACCAAATATAGGCTTGGTTATTCTAATTAAGCCGTTTAAATGACCAGTCAATGTGAATTCCAATATTTCCACAATGTTGTTCTAACTGAAATGGGTGAAAGAGACTATACCCTCTTTGGGGAAAATGATTTAATTCTGGATTTTTTCGCATACAAAAGGACAAAGGGAATGTTAAATAACATTATCAAAGGACTTAAGGACAAAAGCAGCATAACAGAAAGTAAAAACATGACATTTGATGACAAATGCAACAATTCTACAATGCGGACAACAGGATAAAACGATGTCTCAATATAAAAGTCATCATAACCATCAACGGTAACGATATCTTCTATTTGTTTGTATCGGATGGCTTTGATCTGGTGTAGCCTCATTCTCGGCCCTCGACCCTCATTCTCGGCCCTCGGCCCTCGTTCTCGGTCCATATCCTCGGCCCTCTTTCTCGGTCCCATTCTCGGCCCTCGACCCTTATTCTCGTCTTCATCCCCGGCCCTCGGCCCTCATTCTCGGTCCATATCCTCGGCCCTCGGCCCTCATTCTCGACCCTCATCCTCGGCCCTCGGCCCTCATTCTCGACCCTCATCCTCGGCCCTCATTCTCGGCCTTCATTCTCGGTCCCATTCTCGGCCCTCGACCCTCATTCTCGACCCTCATCCTCGGCCCTCATTCTCGGCCTTCATTCTCGGTCCCATTCTCGGCCCTCGGCCCTCATTCTCGACCCTCATCCTCGGCCCTCATTCTCGGCCTTCATTCTCGGTCCCATTCTCGGCCCTCGGCCCTCATTCTCGACCCTCATCCTTGGCCCTCATTCTCGGCCTTCATCCTCGGTCCCATTCTAGGCCCTCGGCCCTCATTCTCGACCCTCATCCTTGGCCCTCATTCTCGGCCTTCATTCTCGGTCCCATTCTCGGCCCTCGGCCCTCATTCTCGACCCTCATCCTTGGCCCTCATTCTCGGCCTTCATTCTCGGTCCCATTCTCGGCCCTCGGCCCTCATTCTCGACCCTCATCCTTGGCCCTCATTCTCGGCCTTCATTCTCGGTTCCATTCTCGGCCCTCATTGTCGGTCCTCATTTTCGGTCCTCATCCTCGACCCTCATTCTCGGCCCCTATCAGCTGTCAAGCTTCTTTCTATACCATCTGATAGAGTGAAACACAGGGAAGTAACTCTGGGAGATCATAATGGTGTATCTTATGCTGCGTCCGAGACTCCAACGGATTTCGAACAGGCGGACATGAGTTCTTTACAGACTCAGTAAATTTACTCTATCCGAGGATGCACGGTATTTGAAACTAGAACTGTTACTTTTGGTAAGAGCACCCTTTAGACTGAACAGCGACGATAATGTCTGTGATTTCCAAATAAATTTTAAAAAGAACATGTTGCCTACAAGAAAGAGTATATTTCCTTTGTTAAAACTGCATGGGACGTACTGACGTTACTTTCGCCTTACTGTATGCAGGAGGAAAAAGACTCGTCCGAAATACCTCTTATTCTCAATATATTGTAGCGATACCAGGAATGAAACCAATACCTTTCCACTTTTTATTCATGAATATGTACATGTATACATAGCTCTTCAGAAAGAGAAAATTGTCATTCTCCTCTAGACCCAGGGAAATGTGATGGATGGTTAATTTGAAATAGTTGGTCCGTGCATCAGAGCATTACTTTATATTAAGTTCATTATTTTTGTAAATTCTCTAAGGGAATCGTTCAAAATATCCATCTCATATTTTATCGACACTTACAAACACTTGCAACTATCCTCTTTCCGACTGTCATAGGTTTTGTTATTTATTGTCAACCATTCTATTGTGTGTCATCATGTGTCCCAGTACTTGTTGTCAACCGTTCTATTGTCTGTCATCATGTGTCCCAGTACTTGTTGTCAACCGTTCTATTGTCTGTCATCATGAGTCCCAGTACTTGTTGTCAGTCGTTCTATTGTCTGTCATCATGCGTCCCAGTACTTGTTGTCAACCGTTCCACTGTCTGTCATCATGCATCCCAGTACTTGTTGTCAGTCGTTCTATTGTCTATCATGTGTCCCAGTACTTGTTGTTAACCGTTCTATTGTCTATCATGTGTCCCAGTACTTGTTGTTAACCATTCTATTGTCTGTCATCAGGAGTCCCAGTACTTGTTGTCAACCATTCAATTGTCTGTCATCAGGAGTCCCAGTACTTGTTGTCAGCCGTTCTATTGTCTGTCATCATGAGTCCCAGGACTTGTTGTCAGTCGTTCTATTGTATGTCATCATGCGTCCAAGTACTTGTTGTTAACCGTTCCACTGTCTGTCATCATGCATCCCAGTACTTGTTGTCAACCGTTCTATTGTCTATCATGTGTCCCAGTACTTGTTGTTAACCGTTCTATTGTCTGTCATCAGCAGTCCCAGTACTTGTTGTCAGCCGTTCTGTTGTCTGTCATCAGGAGTCCCAGTACTTGTTGTCAACCGTTCTATTGTCTGTCATCATGAGTCCAAGTACTTGTTTTCAACCGTTCTATTGTCTGTCATCATGCGTCCCAGTACTTGTTGCCAGCCGTTCTATTGTCTGTCATCATGCGTCCCAGTACTTGTTGTCAGTCGTTCTATTGTCTGTCATCATGCGTCCCAGTACTTGTTGTCAGTCGTTCTATTGTCTGTCATCATGCGTCCCAGTACTTGTTGTCAGCCGTTCTATTGTCTGTCATCAGGAGTCCCAGTACTTGTTGTCAACCGTTCTATTGTCTGTCATCATGAGTCCAAGTACTTGTTTTCAACCGTTCTATTGTCTGTCATCATGCGTCCCAGTACTTGTTGTCAACCGTTCTATTGTCTGTCATCAGGAGTCCCAGTACTTGTTGTCAGTCGTTCTATTGTCTGTCATCATGCGTCCCAGTACTTGTTGTCAGTCGTTCTATTGTCTGTCATCATGTCAGTACTTGTTGTCAACCGTTCTATTGTCTATCATGTGTCCCAGTACTTGTTTTCAACCGTTCTATTGTCTGTCATCATGCGTCCCAGTACTTGTTGTCAGCCGTTCTATTGTCTATCATGTGTCCCAGTACTTGTTGTCAGCCGTTCTATTGTCTGTCATCAGGAGTCCCAGTACTTGTTGTCAACCGTTCTATTGTCTGTCATCATGCGTCCCAGTACTTGTTGTCAGTCGTTCTATTGTCTGTCATCATGCGTCCCAGTACTTGTTGTCAACCGTTCTATTGTCTGTCATCAGTACTTGTTGTCAACCGTTCTATTGTCTGTCATCATGAGTCCAAGTACTTGTTTTCAACCGTTCTATTGTCTGTCATCATGCGTCCCAGTACTTGTTGTCAACCGTTCTATTGTCTGTCATCAGGAGTCCCAGTACTTGTTGTCAGTCGTTCTATTGTCTGTCATCATGCGTCCCAGTACTTGTTGTCAGTCGTTCTATTGTCTGTCATCATGTGTCCCAGTACTTGTTGTCAACCGTTCTATTGTCTATCATGTGTCCCAGTACTTGTTTTCAACCGTTCTATTGTCTGTCATCATGCGTCCCAGTACTTGTTGTCAGCCGTTCTATTGTCTATCATGTGTCCCAGTACTTGTTGTCAGCCGTTCTATTGTCTGTCATCATACGTCCCAGTACTTGTTGTCAACCGTTCTATTGTCTGCCATCATGCGTCCCAGTATTTGTTGTCAGCCGTTCTAATGTCTGTCATCATGCGTCCCAGGACTTGTTGTCAGTCGTTCTATTGTCTGTCATCATGCGTCCCAGTACTTGTTGTCAGTCGTTCTATTGTCTGTCATCATGCGTCCCAGTACTTGTTGTCAGCCGTTCTATTGTCTGTCATCAGGAGTCCCAGTACTTGTTGTCAACCGTTCTAGTGTCTGTCATCATGCGTCCCAGTACTTGTTGTCAGTCGTTTTATTGTCTGTCATCATGAGTCCCAGTACTTGTCAGCCGTTCTATTGTCTGTCATCAGGAGTCCCAGTACTTGTCAGCCGTTCTATTGTCTGTCATCAGGAGTCCCTGTACTTGTTGTCAACCGTTCTAGTGTCTGTCATCATGCGTCCCAGTACTTGTTGTCAGTCGTTATATTGTCTGTCATCATGAGTCCAAGTACTTGTTTTGAATTGTTATTTTGTTTACTTTCTTGTCTCTCTTGTCGACCGTTTCTGTCTATTATGCCTTTTCATCTTAATTTTCGTCCATTTTGTTTTTCGTTTGTGTCTTCACTTAGCCGATTCTCCGATGACGTGTGATATTCATGAATTCGTCATTCATTTTCTACTTGACTGACCTCCGTTGTCAGTAGTAAAGAGGAATTATTATCGCCATCTCACTTCTCTAGCCTTCCAGTTAAAGTTTGCACGTCTTTGAAAACTATCGTTAAATCAGTATTTTTGTAGGATTTTTTTTGTTCTGGTGAGTCCAGAGCACCATTTCTAAAATTTTGACTAGATAAGTTATCAAGAGATACAATGAGTTCTCAAAATCAATGTGACCCTCACGAGTCCAGGACACATAGAGTTGAGTCCCAAAAAATGAATTATATATTTTTATCTTAATACAGATAAGGTATGATTTTAATTTCTCATTGGGAGTCGTTTGTTACGGTGTTTATATGGACTGTACATAAATGTGCCACATTATCTGACAATGGCATCATGGTGTGTAATTACTGAAGCCAAATACTTGAACAAAGCAGGGCGATTTACTTGTTAAACG